TCGCTCTGGGACCACGATGCTTCATATGGCGCCGCGTTACAGAACCTGAAATATGTCGACAGCCGTAGCAAGGGCCCGGTTCATTCCGCCCCTACTAGATGGCAGAAGACTGTGTATGGCTTACTTACGGTTGGCGGTCGCTACGCCTGGGATAAATGGGAAAGCTGGTTGATCAACCAAGAAGGCGGCTACGACGAGGTAAGAATTCGGTCGCTTCTTCATATTCAGGTCTCTTTATACTCATTCTGGTAGCCATCTCAGGAAGTTCGCGTACTTTCCCGCATGACGGACCTAGTTTCTACATCACACTCAATCGCGGCCTTTGTTTCGTTCTGCGTGTTCCTTGTCAACGGTCGATATCGAACAATAGTCGATCGAATTCTTCGCATTCGCCTCACACCTCCTTCGGCACAAGCAAGCCGCGAAGTGTCGTTTGAATACCTGAATCGACAACTTGTGTGGCACGCTTTCACCGAATTCCTCCTCTTTCTGTTGCCGCTCGTAGGCATTAGTCGGTGGAGACGATGGCTGTCTAGAGCGTGGCGCAAGACAATGTCTACGCTCAAATCGAGTGGGGATGATGAAGACGAGCAGGTTCGGAAACAGGGCGAGTTGGCGTTCCTTCCTGAAAGGACTTGCGCGATCTGTTATAAAGACAACAACCCGGCTTCGACAACGGAAAATGAGGTGATGGCTGCCTCGAGTTCGGCAGGAATCGTCGGCTCGGCTCAAACAGATATCACCAATCCTTACGAGACGATCCCGTGCGGTTGTGTATATTGTTTTGTGTGCCTGGTCCAAAAGTTGGAAGGCGAAGAAGGCGAAGGCTGGGTCTGCCTTCGTTGTGGAGAGATCGTCAAGAAATGCAAGCCGTGGAATGGTGACGTCCTGGAAGAAGTTCGGCCTCAGTCAAGCTCCGGAAAAGTTGTCGGGTTCGCCGTGGACGACGGGGCTGACGAAACTGGCGCAAATGCCGGTGAATTGGAAAGAGGCGATGAACACCCTGTGGGACGATCAAGTCCTTTGCAAGATCTGAGCTCAGACGAAGCTCTCGGCGAATCCAATCATTGGTCTACCATAGACAAGGAGTCTACTGCGGATGGACCTGAAGAGCAGACAAACGAGACGAATTGAGGAATGGGGATTAACTTTCATGATTGGATTAAAAGGGCCTCTTGCTATGTAGCCAGATTACGTACGACTATACCCTTTGTTACTATATTTCATGCATTATAATTTCCAGCAACGAGTGTTAGCGACACGGCTCCATTTGAATATATCCGAACATCACTGAGCCTGCGATATATTTCTGATCTAATAGCGTCTCCTTACGAAGTACGGATACGTACTCAAGAGTCAAGACATGCCTGCGGATTGACTCCACGCACTGGATGGATCTACCCCACTACGCCAGTCCTCGCCGTCAAATCACAGCTTCCAGATTGCAAACCCGGTCCCCAGAATATCACTACTCACTTAACAGGACAAATCACGATTATTCAATCTCCCCCGCAACGGAGTTCTTGCCGAAGGTTTTTACGAAGGGCACGTCGCAACTCCGATCGTTCGGCTGAATGAGGGGCCAGGGAACGGTGACCGTGTGTCAGTGTTATTCTCCGGCGACTGCTGCTGTTCTAGTTATTTATGCCTCGTCTGCCACTTCACTTCTTGTATTTCTGGGTTAAGCTCTGAGAGTGCACTACCTGAAACTGTCCCGAGCTTGCTCATTGAGTATTCCCCGCCGTTCTGTCGCTGTCGCCATGGATCCTTCCAACCCCGCGGTGACGTCTACATTGGGAGAAGCTAGGTATATCCAGTTTCCCAGTCTTCCCGATGATGCGAAGCATGAGGATGGCACGCTAGCCTTGAATCGATACTCGAGTACTATCACTCGGGGCCATGACTTCCCTGGTGCTAAGGTGGGTACTATCGCTCAGACCGTTACGGTGGCGCGTTGCATTTTCGATTGGGAAAACCAGCTAATTTTACCGATTCCTTCGATAGGCAATGCTGTATGCGGCCGGTGTGCCCGACCAGAATGCCATGGCCAAAAGCCCTCAGGTTGGAATCGCATCCGTATGGTGGGAAGGGAACCCGTGTAATATGCACCTTTTGGATATGGGAAAGACTGTGAAGAAAGCGGTTTCAGACAATGGGATGATTGGGTGGCAGTACAACACCATCGGTGTTTCAGATGCCATCACCATGGGTAGCGAAGGTTGGTATTTTGTGTCCTTTGTGCGACATCTATATCCTGGATCCGATGCGCCGAAGTGATTTTGGCGGCTAACAAAACGAAAGGCATGAGGTTCTCTCTTCAAACACGTGAAGTGATCGCCGACAGTGTCGAGACCGTTACCTGCGCCCAATATCACGATGCCTGTATCGCAATCCCTGGCTGCGACAAGAATATGCCGGGAGTGGTAATGGGTATGGCCAGACACAATCGGCCGTCAATTATGATCTACGGCGGCACGATCCAGATCGGATACTCTGACCTTCTCCGGAAGCCAATCAATGTGTCTTCGTGTTTTGAAGCGGCTGGCGCCTACACATATGACACTCTCCGCCAGCCGGATGATGGCGGTGACACCAGCAAGACCAAAGATGAAATCATGGATGATCTGGAGAGGCATGCCTGCCCTAGCGCAGGCGCTTGTGGTGGAATGTTTACGGCGAACACCATGGCCACGGCAATCGAGTCAATGGGTCTATCCTTGCCTGGGTCCTCCTCTACGCCAGCAACCTCTCCGTCTAAGATGCGAGAATGCGCGAAGGCGGCCGACGCTATCAAAATCTGTATGGAGAGAAACATTAAACCCCGGGACCTGCTGACCAAGCGATCCTTCGAGAACGCGCTTGTTATAACAATGGCCTTGGGCGGAAGCACCAACGGTGTACTTCACTTCCTCGCCATGGCCCGAACCGCAGGTGTTGATCTCACTCTGGATGACATCCAGAGAGTTAGCAACAAGATCCCCTTCATTGCGAACCTTGCTCCGAGCGGGAAATATTACATGGCGGACCTGTACGACATCGGCGGTGTTCCGTCGGTCCAGAAGCTACTCATTGCCGCAGGCTTGCTGGATGGTGACATCCCTACCGTGACCGGCAAAACCCTGGCTGATAATGTGGCATCTTTCCCCTCGTTGCCTGACGACCAAGTCATTATCCGTCCCTTGGATAACCCCATCAAGACGACTGGTCACCTGCAGATTTTGCGCGGTAACCTAGCCCCCGGCGGTGCGGTGGCCAAGATCACTGGCAAGGAGGGAACTAAATTTGTCGGAAAAGCACGAGTGTTCGACAAGGAGCACCAGCTGAACGACGCTCTGAATCAGGGTAAGATCCCCCGCGGCGAGAACCTGGTCATCGTTGTTCGCTACGAGGGTCCCAAGGGTGGACCGGGTATGCCGGAACAGCTCAAGGCCAGCGCTGCATTGATGGGCGCCAAACTCAACAACGTGGCCTTGATCACGGACGGAAGATATTCGGGAGCAAGCCATGGATTCATTGTCGGCCACATTGTCCCGGAGGCCGCTGCTGGTGGGCCAATTGCCGTGGTCCGGGACGGCGACGTGATTACAATCAGTGCGGAGACCAACGAGATCAGCATGGATGTTTCACAAGAGGAGATCCAGCAACGGCAGCGAGACTGGAAACCTCCAGTGCCGCACGTTACACGGGGAGTGTTGGCCAAGTACGCAAGACTGGTTGGCGATGCATCGAGTGGTGCCATGACGGACTTGTTCTAAGGATGGTTGCATCCAGTATTTGTGTCAGTAATACTTGATTGATATTAGTCTCTACCTAGGTAAATGGGAAATTGGAACAAACCAAACAAACCAAACAAACCAAACAAACAGGTGTGGCTTGGTCACTACTTGACGCCACGGGATGCAGCCTGACGTTAACTAGTTAACTAACTAACTAACTTAACATGAGTGGGCGCGCCCGGATGACTCATCCGCAGACCTTGAGGGTTGGATCGTCCACGGTTCAACACCAGCGGCTGTGACAGGCTGCATCGCATCCCATGAATAATTCTTTCCTTCGCTCTCCAGGTAAGGAGTCGCTCCTCGGTGGGTAGTTGCTTCCGGTATCACCTACACCGTCCCAGTTGGGCCCTTCAGGTGAGTGAGACGCTGGCGGTCATTTTGTGCGAGCTACATACTCCACCACCAATTCTGCAGGGTGCCTGGACCTACCTTACCCCCTCAGTGTCACCCTACTCTTTCCTCTTTCTTTCTTTCCTTCTTTCTTTTCGGTTTCGACCTCCTATTCCTTTCCCTCACCGTGGACCGAGTCCAGGCATCATAACTGACAATTCTTCCAATCAAATTAGCATTAAATCCACGTTGACTCCGGTTTTCTGGAACAAACCCTAGCTCTTCCTCTTATGTGATCTATCCAAGTTTAAATCCACTCCATTCGTCATCAGAACCCTTCCCAAAAAGAAATCAATAGTCGCTCCTTTCTTGGCCTCGTCTCAAATAGTGGGCCTGTCAGATCACCCCAGAGCCACCCGGACGCAGCTGGTCGACCACCGTGCTGGATTCTTGCCCGTCATTGGCCAACTTTTACCAGACGGGCGCATCGCAAATAACGTGTTGAGGGCGCCGGATCTTACCCTCTCCGTGTCTCAGGAAGAGCCTCCGGGGCCTCCTAGTCGCATAATCAGGACAGGATCTGCATCTTGATGTTCTACGGCTTCGATCGGCCCGCTTCCTTGCCTCACTACTGAATCGTGGACTGCCCGCCCGCCAAAGAGGTGCCGTCGTTCTATCTCGTGGAGGACCCGGCTTACATTCCAGAACATCCCCGTCGTTCCTGTTTGTCGGTTCTTCGGGCTGGCAGGGATCCCTGGACGTTGGGGGAGCTTCGAACACAGGTGGCCGAATGAAGGAATCCCTCTACGGAAAATAGTCTGCAGTCCGGGCCGCCATACTAGGGTAACCCTATAAAGTTCGGAGATCTTGCCTCCGCGGCTGCTAGTCAGAATGGGCTCAACAGATGCTGCCATAACCCTGAGCGGACCCTCGGGCTTTGGCGCTATTCGTCGGTCGTGGGATTCTTTATATGCGACATTCTCCAACTCTAGTATCTTTCTTTCCTTGACTCGTTCCTCTCAAGATGGAAACGTGAACTGGGTCAAACTTGTGTTTTTGACTACTTGTGTGCTTACAATGGCGGGCTGTGGTTTGTTGTCCTCCTTTTTGCGGCGCAAGGGCCCCAACCGTCCGATTCTCAGAAAACGTTTGCGACGGGCTGCACGAAGGGACTGTTCTAAAGGCTCTGCTGGAACCATCACTTCATCGGACGATGAGGAATACGACAGTAGCGGTTCTCTTCGTCATGTTACGAAACACTCCTCGCATGAGGAGAAGGGTCCTCCCCAGCGCCGCGAACAATCCGAAGAAGGTGAGTGTCTATACGTCCCCTTTTCATCATGACTGTGTTCATTGACAATTTAAAAGCGCACGACACAGACCCTGGTCTTCTGAAAAAGCATTCATCCTACCTTTCCTATACTACTTCTGTTGCGACTTATCCATCGATAAGGACATTAAATCGCCCTCATCCACAGGCAGACAAATTGCCAACGAAGCCCTCACCCGTCCCCTTGTTGGTATTTGTGCATGGGCTGGGAGGGTCTTTAGCTCAGTTCAATCACCTGCTGACAAGCTTGTCAAACATCGGGCCTTGCTTCGGAATTGATCTACCGGGTTGCGGATTGTCGAACTTTGCGCCGACCTCTTGGGACGCATATACTGTTGACGCACTGGCGGAGTTACTCGCCACCGCCATCGATCAACATCGCGACAAAGAGAACGGTCAAGGAGTCGTCCTGATTGCCCATAGTCTTGGCTGCTCTCTGTCAGCATTGTTGGCATCCTCAACCTCATCAGTAGGATCCCAACTTAAAGAACATATCCTTGGCCTTATTGCGGTTTGCCCTCGATCTTCGCCTCCGTCTGCCCATGAAGTTACTTCGTTCCGCCGCCTCCTTCACATCCCTGGTCCTATTTTTGATCTATGGCGCCACTGGGACCGCCGCGGTGGATTGACTAGTGCCAGCGTCACCAGACTTGTCGGTGCGGATGCCGACTCCGATACCAGAAATCTCCAGGTGCGATACAACAAACAGAGCAAAACCCCTGTGTGGAGACGCATGGCTTGGGGAACTCTGCCTACTTACGACCGCAATGGCTCAAATCCTATCGGGGGACTCCCGGGAAGAGACGTCTGGGCAGGTGTGGAAACCCCCGTCTTGCTTGTGGCCGGCGAATCCGATACAGTAACCAAGCCCGAGGAATTGCTGAAAATTCTTCGGTTTTTCGAAGGTACGGAATGCGTTTTTGGTGGCGATACCAAAGGCAGCAATTCTATGCCCGATGCCTCTAGTAACGGGGACAAGCAAGCTTCAGAGAATCCTCTTGCGCATGAGGAAAAGTACGGCATCGAACCCCGAGTTGATGAAAAAAAACTCGAGGCCATTTCCGGGACGAACCAAATCAAACGCTCTGTCAAGACAATCATTCTTCCTGCCCCAGCTTCCCATGCGCTTCTCTATGATCGTGCGACTTACCGCACCCTAGCTGGAGTCATTCAAGATTTTCTTCGCCAGCACATCGATCACCGACTCAACATGGGCTGGCAGCTGCAACATTTGAATACATCTGGCAAGTGGGATGTCAAGAACCTGGCCAAATGGCAAAAGGTAACCCCAATCTCGGAGCGTATTGCCAACACATTCGTTGCCCTCAAAATGCTACGAGAGGTTGACGAGGAACACAACCCGGTGTTGTTCTCCCAGAAGTACCGTGATCAGATCTATGCTGTAATTGATATCAGCTATGAGAACCCAGTATACAATCCAGCGTCGATGGAGAAGGGAGGAATCCACTACCACAAGCACCCTACGGTGTCAAAGATTCCGCCCACTACGGACGAAACCAGAGACTTCATTGCTCTGGTGGATCGACTGGAAAATGAGATAACCGAGAAACTGGAAAAGCCTGAAAACAGCCATCTTTCACGCCCTATGATCGGAGTTCACTGCCATTATGGGTTCAATCGGACGGGCTTTCTAATTGTCTGCTACCTGATTGAACGATGTGGGCTCAGCGTACAGGAAGCCATTGATGAATTCGAAAGGCGGCGACCGCCAGGTATCCGACATGCGCATTTTATCGACACACTGTTCGTGCGATATTGCGTTGGATTAAAGAGAGCACCCACTCTTTAAATCCTGTCACTTTTGTTTTTTTCTTGTCTTCACTATTGTTAACCATTTGTTACTACTATCTTGGGCAGGCGCTGAGCGTCTGGGTTTTTGTTTTCGTGGATGAAGCGGTGTAATGGTCGGTTGGGCCTTGTAATTGACGAATTATGATCATTATGCGATAGACTGTATAGTATTAACCTATTGATAATCATGAGTGTTGTTGAATTGACCGAGACTCCCTGTCCCAAGCCAAGTAGTTATGTGTAAGGTAACTACTGAGTAATTAGTAGTAACTAATCGATTGCGGAGACCAATAAATTCACCTTATGCGGAAGGCGGCATAAGACGGCAGATAGTGTGGTGCCTTAGGCAGGATGAACTAGTTAGGGTACGGCTAGGCCCGAACAGGCTAAGCGCTAAGCGAAGCGTCCACACAGCAGCGCAACCGAGACGTCGCCGTGTGTGAGAAATTTCGACTTGACCGACCGACTCCCCAACGACGACAACGACGACCCATCCTCACACCTCGTCCCCCTCCTCAGCTCCCCCTACACCTTCGATTCCCGTTCGAGGTCACAAGTCGCAAAAATGGGTGGTGTCACCGTTCGCGATGTGGACGTAAGTTGTCATCCGTCCCTATCAGTCAGCTGTTGCTTCAAGATGCAAATGAGATGGACATGGAGAATGGACAATGGATTCGGCATATGGCATATCATGGCAGAGGCAAGGAAGAAGAGAAGGCCAAACGTGAACGAGATCGGCAGTCGCAACGACTTGAGCGACAAGAAAATACGCCAGGTGATCTTTCGATAACTGGGATATAAATGTCTTGAATCGGGACTTGGAGAGTCGGAACATCTTGCGACTGAGGTTACGACCTGGGAATACGCGGTTATCCCAGCAGCCAACAAACCTCTTGAATGCACGAGACGATGCCACCAGGGTGGAATATTGGACATTGCCGAACCAAATCATTGCCATGGAAAGAGGGGGGAATTCTTGCTCCACGCATCTACTACGATTCAACAGTTGTGCTCTATTGGTGGGAATGACATGTGCTGACGATATCTGTTTTTGTGTTATAGGCGCAGAAGTTCATTGGCGCTTACTCTGCGTTCTTGAAGCGTCAGGGCAAGCTCCCCATCCCTGGTTAGTTTTCTCCCCTCTCCCCCACCACCTAAGGGGACAACATCTCCGGCATCGAAGATAGCGAGCGATCTGAATAACCCCACTAACTGCATCACAATAGGATGGGTTGACACTGTCAAGACCTCCGCTTCCAACGAGCTCCCTCCCCAGGACGCCGACTGGTACTACATCCGCGCCGCCGCCGTCGCCCGCCACATCTACATGCGCAAGACTGTCGGTGTTGGCCGCTTCCGCAAGATCCACGGCTCGACCAAGAACCGTGGTGCTCGCCCCGCCCACCACGTCGATGCCTCCGGCTCCGTCGACCGTAAGGTCATGCAGTCCCTTGAGAAGATCGGTGTCCTCGAGGTCGATGAGGACAAGGGTGGCCGTCGCATTACCCAGAGTGGACAGCGTGATCTTGACCGTATCGCCAAGACCACCGTTGACGAGGAGGAGTCTGACGAGGAGTAAATTAGCCTCCGATTTCTAAAATAATGAAAAAGTCCTGATGTTCACTCAAACCACCTTTTTTTGATCTTCTTTTTCTCTACTCCCTCAAACTTTTTGATATGATTTGTTTATTTCTTCTTTCCGACCGCTTCTCGGCTCTTGAGAAACCTTCCCCAAACCCCAGCGGAAGAATGATCGACAGATTGAAGGAAGAAAAGGGATAAAGAAATGAAGAAATTCGGGTGAAATCAGTCCAGTAACAATGGATGGGTTCGGAACGGATAGACAAACGGATGGTTGACGGATGGACGGACGGATGGCTACATTGTGATGATACTAGGGATATCAACCAGGGAGAGAGGAATGAAATTTTTCTTTTTTACTGTTTCATACCAGGGTTTCTTTTTTTTCCGACTCAAGACGAAGAGTCTTTGCGTCTCCTTTCAACTCCTATGGAGAGATTCACTTGCGCACTTCCCATTTTTACCACCCCGAATAGATTCCTATCTCGTCGAAGAGATCAGGTAGACCGAGGTCGGAAAGACGTAAAGTGAAGTAAATCACCCTCTGATAAGATGCAGGGATATCTCTATAGAACGAACCAACCATAAATCCATATATACTACACGGAACAGTCCCGACCATGCAAGCAACATACACAGCACGTCACATCCCACGCCTTCAAGCAAACCAGTATAGAGCAGCATCTATTTCTTCCCCGACTGTGCCGTCGGATCCTACATTAAACTCTCAGTCAGCCCATTCACTCACTCAACCCATCCATCTCCAAGCCCCAAGATAGCAACGAGAAGGGGAAAAGGAAAGCAAGGGAAGGAGAAAACCCACCAAATAAACCTGATAAAACCTCATCTTCAACCCCTCCGTCCCATCCCTATCATCGAACACCACCCGTCCAGCCCAGGGCACCTCCACTTCCTTCCCGGCCGCTTTCAGCACGTACTTGACCGTCCCGAAGAGCATGAGCTCATGGGCGCCGCCGAAGAAGATCCGTTCGGGGAAGTGTTTCCGTGACGCGACGTGCGTCCAGAGGCCGTGGCGGAGGGAGAGGATTTCTAGATCATTTGTTCGGTTAGTTACGTTACGAGACAGGTTAGGTTGCAGTATGTCTTATCGATATGTGCATATATATACTCTTCCTGGTGAATATGGGTTTTCGGAAGGAGAAATGAGAAAGGATGGGATGGAAGAGGAAAAGGAGGGACATACCACTCGATCCCTTGGCAACTTTAGGGCCCATAATGAGGGTCGCATCCTCGGCGAAACTATCGACGTAGGCGTCGTGTCGGGACTCCGTGTCGCTGGTGGCGTAGAATGACTCCAGGAAGGAGATCATGGCGGCCGCGTTGGGCGGCGAGAGGGACGGGTCGGAGGCGATTGTGTAAGACATTGCGCTGTGGTTGTTGTATGTTTATTGGGTGTTGGGGTTAAATTGAGAAGGAATTGGGTTAGAAAAAGCATTTGACACTGATGAATCCTCAAGAGAATAAAGTATAGAATGCAGAGTGAGTGGTTGGTGATGTCAGTAGCCGCTGTTCGGGCCGATGAGGGGAGGCCGGTGCGATCCGATCAGCATCCGATGAATGAATCAATGGGACTTGGTGGGGTTCTCTCTTGGCTGGTCTGGTGCATTCAGCATTGGTGGTTTGGAAGGTGTACATAGTGGGTGCAATGCAATGGTTAGTAGAGGGTTGACGGGTCAGGACTATGAAGCATACACTCGGACAGATGAATTTTGTAGGCTTTACAGTAATATGTAGCTATATAAATCAATCTATCTCCACTCATGCCTTCCTGTAATCCTCTTCTGCCGCCTCAAAGTCCTCCCAGCTCGGTCGATCGGTTCCATTCGGTCGACTAGCCCGCGCGAATTGGTTGTTGACCCCGTCAATCTCGCAGATCGAGCGAACCACTTCGATATCCGCGTTGTACGCCTTAGAATGCCATTTCTCGGTCAATGCGGCATCTCCAGCCTGTTCGGCAGACAGGTAGAGGTGAGGGAACCGGGTTTGCATGATCTTCAGGACCGTCGAGGAGATGCGGTCGACGCTGTCGCAATGACGCAACTGGAAAAACTCGGGGGGTTGCGCCGCACGCATTTTCTCCTGAATTTCTTCGGAGTATTTGCCCACGGCAAAGAGCAGCAGATCGTAGTGCATTAGGGAGGACTTGCCGTGGTACGAGCCGCCGTGCTTCGCTCGGAGATAGAGGCCAGTCAGGGCGGCGATGGCGCCCATACAGCCGGTGCCATAGTCAGAAATGGGGAATGGAGGCACCATTGGGGTTGAATGGCCCATGAATTTTCCCTGTGCCCATGCCACGCCGGTAACCTATACAAGCGCCTGTAAGCCTTCCTCCTGGAATCCTGTAAATTGAATAGAGATAAGGAGTACTTACGCAGTCTGCGATTTGTTGCCAGCCAGGACGACCAGCCCATTCTCCCTCATATCCAAAGCAGTTCTCATTGACATATACAATTCCCTTTCCGCGCGTCTCGCCCAGTGACGCGAGCGCATTCGAGCCATATCCTAGTTTTTCAAGGACCCCAGGGCGATAGCCATCAACAAGAACGTCTGCGTCAGCTAATAATTCTTCGAATTGGCGGCGTCCTTCCTCGGTCTTCAGATCGAGATCAGCGGCATGCTTGCCCATGTTGCCATCGACCTGAAAGAATGGCACGTCGGAGAGACTTGGGCTGGTGATCTTCAATACGTCGGCTCCGTATTCAGTCAAAATCCGCGTGACTGTAGGCCCAGCAATGATACGGCAGAGTTCGAGGACCTTGACCCCTTCGAGAATCTTCTTGCTTCCACTGCGGCTGGAGGGGAAGGGCGTCGGAGGCAGGTCTCCACTGAGGCGGGATACCTTCCACGGAGGCTGTTGCACATTGAGCTGACCCTATAATTCCGTTAGGTCAGCATGAAAGACCCTGGCACAAAATAGCATGAGGGTTGACAACCACGTACATGTGGAGTTTTGATAAAGTCTTCATGTTTGAGAGCTGTGACACCCGCCTGTCTCCTCTCCGCATTCATTGCCTCCAACTCCGCCGCGCTGTACTTCTGCACATGACTTTCGATAACCTTGATGATATCCTCGTAATCTGTCAGGTCTGGCCGATGTCCATCTAGTCCAATCATATTCAACGTCGTGGAGGCCTCCAGAGAGCCATGGATATGGAAGAACTCTCCCTCGTTCTTAGTTTTGTAAAGGTTCGCAGACATCCGGCGGTAACCGTTCGATTGAGCGGCGAGCAGGTCAGTATCTAGATCCGTAAGTTTTCTAGCACATCCAAGTGATGAGAATGAAGCTGAATCGTAATAACTGCCTACCTTTCAGCTTCTTCTTAACCTCCGGGTCCAACTTTGACAGCCCATCCACTTTCGCCAAGTATGCCTGACAACCAAATGCTGTGGCTCGTTCTAGATTGACCTTGACTTTCCTTTGCTGCAAGTCGGATCCGTATCTCAGATCTGCGATTGCAGCCGCTACCGATCCCTCAACGCCCTTCAACGCAGCCAGCGTCTCCGTCTCCTTGAAGGGAATCGGGTAATAGATCTCGTCATGAGCCGAGTAGAACGACACGTCGTCTTTTTTCTGCGTTACCTCAGAAGGCAACCCAAGTCTCTCCCCTTGGTCGAGAAGCAGGGAGAAGATTCGACTAGCCTCTCGAACAGGAGAATAGACATTGACCGCATCCGAATTGTAGGCCATGGTGTCAATCGAAGATGATAGCGCAACAGACAATCTACGGTGTTTGGGGATGATTTGAACAGAACGCAGAATCGGCTGGCCAGGCGGAGCTTTCTGGATTGACAAAGTATGAATATGCAAGCGAGTTTTCAGAAAACCGAGAGAGAATAATTAATATTTAATACCCATGTCTCCGGGTCAATTCCGAAATGCGCTTCGGGGTGGATGCAGGACGTTAGGGACCGATCGGCAGTCACGATCGCCTTGGACCACCGGAAGAGGTCGAACCAGGAAGCCAGACATTGTGCAGAAAGCCAGTTCAACCCCGCGGAGACGGTGGATATCCGAAGGAAAATGGTAGTTGGAACGCCAGGAAGAATGCGGGATGGCGAAAAAGGCTCCCTTTCGGATGCGATGCCGATAAGATCGGAAGCGGATGACGTCGGCTGAGCTAAGCGGGTCACCTGACCAGGGCAGCCCTTCGTCCGGCATCTGCAGAATAATTCTGCGTGCGATGAGAAGAGAAGGATTCCACCGAAAGATGCCCCCCTTGTCATTCGATGGCCCCCATCAGATTTGTTCCTCAGCTGAATCTCTGAAGACCCCAATGCCGTGAATGGGCCGTCCTACGAGCACGCCAAGAGGTAAATCACGCCCCCGCTAGTCCGTTCCGAGTAATCCAGCGTCAATGGGAAAGCCTACTGCTCTGCATTCACCGGCGCTTCGACAAGCATTGAAATCCCGGGGCTGAGGGGGGCCGTTTTTGCACCCTAAGCGAGCAGCATGGCAGAAGATCGGGCGGCTTTGCCCCTGGAAGTCTTCATTGGTCGCTTCAGGCTGCACATAAGCGCTGCACTCCAGCATCAGCGCGTAAAGACAATGACTATAGCGCCCAGGCGTCAGTTGAGCGGCAAACTCATGTTTTGGGCTAACTGCTACCGTAGTAGCAGGATCTCGTGGAAGCCTGAGAAAACCTAAGTGTGGGCTGAGTCGTGGGCTGAGTCGTGGGCTACTTCTATCGTATCTCGTCCTATCTTTCTGGACCTGCCCCGTCAACCCTCTATCAAACCCCTTCTCGCCCACCAAAGAATGTCGACCATAGTACAGACGCAACTTTCTTCCTCGACGCAGAACACTATGTGCTTTGCACAACCGTCCTCGGACGTTTCATCCCTCCATGGCACTATCTCTGCTCTGCCGAACGAGCTCCTAGCCTACATTTTCTGGAACCTCGAGGATTACAGACTTCCTTATGAACGACAGCCCCCTTTACAATGGCTTGTATTAGCCCGAGTCTGTCGACGGTGGCGAGACATCATCGATACGTTCTTGTACCGCAACCTGATCCTGCGGGGTCGTGATGAGAGCCGCCATTCCCTGTTGCTCGAGGCCTTCAGAGATCGCCAACACCTTCGCGAGTATCCACGAACGCTGAACCTGACGCTCGAAGGGAATGCCGTTTCTCGAGACATCACCCAGATCATGGCTCTCCTGACCTCGGTCCGCGAGATCTCATTTCAAGCCGACTTCGACGAGCCGCACCGCCCTCTCCTCCAGATCATCACAAACATAGCCCCGGAGAAGCTCTTTCTCCGCGGGCTGGTCTTCGGCCCGTCCGTGAACATGCTCTTCGATGTCTTCCAGGACATGTCGTCCCTGCGTGAACTGCACCTCACCCGGTGGGGGTGGAGTCGCGAGAAAAGGCTACACACGGGCTATACCCAGAATGACAACGTCCTGGTCGGATCGGACGACCTGCGCCAGGCCCTGCCGATGGACAGACGACGAACGGCGGCCTTCACGGTCCTCAACCTCCAGGAACCGAACACCTCCGCGCGGGTCACGGAGTGCCTCCTTCACTGGCCCGCTCGACTGGAGGAACTGAGCATGAAGTCCCTCTGCCACTCCCACTACGCCGTCGACTACCAGACGCACAGCCTGCAAAACCTCCTTTCCATCCACCAGCAGACCCTGAAGAAGGTCAGCATCGGCGTCATTCCCCAGCACCAGGGCGGAATCCCCGATTTCTCGGGCTTCCCATGTCTCGAGGAGCTGTGCGTCTCGGCGTACTCGATCCTACATGATCCAGAGGAGACGCCGTGGACGGCGTACCGCAAGCTGTCGACGCCTTCTCTCCGTCGCCTAGAGATTGATTTCAGCACTGAAGACCAGCATTGCGAGTCTTGGACGGATTATTTCGAGGACCAGCTGGACTGGACCGAGGATTTTCTCGAAATCGTGGCCCCCGGCTTGCACACGTCGCCGCCGGAGACGCGTCTACGGAATGTTCACATCAACTTTAACCCCAAGATGCCCTGGCGCCCGATGGAGCTGATCTGGCCCTGGCACTGGCTGATTGAGGCGACCAAGGTGGCGACCCCGCTGGGAATCTCGTTGACGTATAGCACACCGAGTTGGACGATGGAGGATTACGAGCAGACGCAGGAGCGAATGCGGCGGTTCAACATGATGATGGGGTCTTGAAAGGAGTCCTTTAACATTAACGAATGACCATGGTAACGGGTCTTTAATAATGAGTTTTCGACATGTTTTTTGCGTTTTGCTCTTAAGTCTTTTCTTTTTAATCTGACATTCTGTCTGGTCTGAGAATTTAATTTCATGGTGTATATGTCTTGCAATCGGGTTTTCATAGGGGTTCTTTGATTCTGGAGAAATTGACTAGCTTTGTTGAATCGTCATCTTCTTTCAATCGGCTCGAAACTAGAACTGGATTCATGAATCCGCGTAATCGCACATATGCAAAATTACGGCAAATCTCATCGCCTAGAGGGGCTGTCTTCGTGGTCCTTGAGATAAGGTACAAGTCTTGCCTGCTCATTCGAGACATGTTTCGGGTTGGCTGGCCTCGACTTTTTTGTCGGACGGTGCTTATATCCATGATTATGCATTCTTTGGGGCTCACCGCTCAGCGATATGAAATGAATAGCGTGTACAGACTGTAAGAACTATTGTCGGTAGAGGATATGTTTTGATAGAGCAAGAACATAAGTTCATAAAAGAGAACAGAGATCTATATATGAGAAAACAGTGAGGGGAGAAAGGCTGATGGTAAAGATCCCGAAACAATAACGCACAAGGAACGACTGACAGCAAAACATAAAGAGTCGGGGGAATAAAAAAAGAAAAAAAGAAAAGGAGAGAAAAAGGGGAGAGAAAGGGAGAGAGAAGCAGCCACCATCACCACCTATTTACGCTTCTTGCCCTCTGCCTTGGGGCCCGAGACGTTGCTTTCACCGGCCTCACTATTCCCATCGTCTTTCTTGATGTCCCTTTCACTGACCGGTACTTCACGCCCGGCCAGAACCATTGCGGGACCAATGAATTCGAGGGTTTTATTATCATGGCCAAACCATTTACGCATCGGCGAAAGCATAGTAGCGATTGCCGGGCGAACAATAAGCACGAGGCGTCGTCCCTCAAAGTTGGTCTCCTCGTCGGGTCCGCAGTTAAATTCGTGCAGTTTCATATGGCCCATGACGTCGCACCTGTTTTGGCTGTACGCAGCCTCCAGCTCAGGGAGACGGTAAAACACGGTATGGCCCCCGTATGCAGCCTCTACTTGGGCGATTACACCGGCGGCGAAATCAATAACCCTAGAAAAAGAAATTATCCGCCACTCTTGATTGAACACGAAAGGTGCGTCGGCAAGGAGCCATTGAAAAGGTTCGCTCTCCATCAGCTGTTCAGCAAGCGTTCGGCATGGAGCAAGGCGGTTTTCGTCGTACTCGAACAGCGACAAAGTCACGGCACTATGGTGTTTACTTCCGGGCTTGTTGAACATGAGACGACAAAGTTGCATTCCCCAGAGTATGGCGAGTTCAGGATTGTCTGTAGGAATAAACAAGGAGGCAATGTTAGCAACACATATCATACAACACATGAGATGGCAAGGTGGGCGATGAGCTCACATACCCACAAAAAACCGATCATAAAGATGTGCCATTGCCTAGGTAATTAAGGGATCAACGTCATCAATTTCGGGGTACATCTTGCCATCACAGAACCAAAACGGGTTTTGGTAGAAGGTTGTGAATATCTGTCAACCGTATGTGACCGCTAGTTACATAGGAGACCTTCATCATTCGATATTCCTATGGGTAACATTACTAGCAATTACGCCTAGAGAGACGGCCAACAGTTATGAGCCCGGTCCTCTATCAACATTCTATTTGATAATTTCCTCTGAAGCTGTCACGTCACCTAGACGTTGAATTGCTGAATCATCGAATCGAAAATTCCGATATGTTGGAACGTCACTCCGCCGCGAAGGTCTCAGTCACCTTGAGAACAAGGGATGACTGGCAGAGTTGGATTGAAGACATAAAATCGATTGCCTTATTAGGCAAAGTATGGGGATATATTGATCCTAGCAAGGCAGAGGCTGAGCTAGAACAAATCCCTAAGGAACCGGAGATTCCTGCAGATACAGCAACATCTGCAGAGATCAAGGTATTTGAGATCAAATACAACCGATACCAACGAATTGAACGTGGAGTCGCTGCGATCAGCGAAGCTATCCACAATTCAATAAGTGTTTTACTGAAGCACTTTTATATCAACAACCGGGAGTCACCGTACAAGGTTTTAAATGCTTTGAAAAAGCAATTTGTTCCCAATGACGATGAGCTCAAGATGATGGCTATTCGACGCTATCAGCGAGCTAGATCGACGCCGATTAAACAATCAAATCCCGAAAATTGGCTTACCGAATTCGAAAGCGCTTATTATGGAATGAAACACCATGATCTTCCTGAATCGCAGGATATGTATGTGATCAGAGACTTCCTAGGTGCAGTTATGAAAACTTCAAAGGAATGGGTCATGATCAGACGAAACCTATTGCATCAGCAAGAATATAAGAGCCAGACGATCACGGAAACGATAGCAGCTTACCGAGAGTATCTATCAGATGAAGTACTCTATCAAGATACTAACCTGAATGTTGCATTCGCTGCCAATCCAACGCTTCAAGGAACCGGGATTCCGGATCAGTCAAATCAATCAAACCAATCGAACCAATCGAACCAGTCAAATACAACAAAATTTGTACCGAAGTGCGCATGTGGCAAGAAACACTTCTTCAAAGAATGCCCCTACGTGGTCAAATCATTGCGAAAGGCAGGCTTCGTGGAAGATCCAGAGATCAGGACGAAATTCGATGATATCCTGAAGACCCCGGGTGGAAGAAACAATATGTTAAAGAAAGCAATAGAACTGAATAAGCAAGCCAAGGAGGAACATGCTATGGCTGCTATATCGGTAGGATTCTCTGCAACAGAGATTTCGCTGAAGGATAGTTTTATCCTAGATTCGGGTGCCTCAGTGCATATTTGCAACGATAAAGCAAGGTTCAAACAGTTGAAACAGGGCACAGGGGACTTTCTGCGTGCTGGTGACACTACCGTACCAATTGAGGGTACTGGAGTAGTTGAAATATCACCAAACTGCAAAGGAACCGAGGATGTTTTGATATCTCTGCATGAGGTAGCCTATATGCCAGGTTTTCATACTAATATCGTCTCAGCAAGTCGCATGAAGCGGGCAGGCTATATATGGGACTTTGCGAGAGATAGAGTATTGAAAAACGGCAGAGAGATCTTCAGGCTTGCAGAATATCAAGGACTTTGGGTCATGGAGCAAAACAGCAGAGATCAGAATTCTGAATTGACCAATGAGGATGCTTATTCAGTGAGGTCGAATCCCCATGTTAAGCACTCCGCTAAACCTTTGAAATTAGCAGGAAATGCAGATAGGTGGCACAAGCGATACAGTCACCTAAATCATGAAGCTATTCGACATCTGCCGAAAGCTGTTGAGGGTATTCAAATCGATAATTTTGAAGCACTCAAGGACTGCGAAACATGCAGATATTCAAGCGCTCCACGTCAGATTTCTCGAAGACCAGCAACCCGAGTAACTCGACCATTTGAGAGGGTTCATTTTGACCTTATCGAGTATAATTTGGCATGGAACGGAGACCGTTGGTGTACGCATTTTTATGACGAATTTACCCATATGCACTTTGCATACACGCATGCAAAGAAAAATGGTTGTGTAGATGCTGCAGTGCATCTAGTCTCTTTAATTGAACGCCAGTTCAAGATGAAAGTGCAATTTTACAAGTCAGATAATGAACAGACTCTTGGAAGAGACTTTCATACTTTTACTGACTTAGAAGGTATCATTCATGAGACATCTGTAGTTGCGATACCTGAGCAGAACGGCCCTGCAGAACGCTCAGGGGGTATTTTAATCTCGCGAGCAAGGCATATGACGATCGAGGCAAGGTTACCGCTTGATATGTGGCCAGTTTCGGTGAACGCAGCAGCATATATACTGAATTGAATACCGACAAAGACATTGGGATGGAAAACGCCGTTCGAGAAGGCTACCGGGAAACGTCCGAATATGGCAAACCTGTATACGTTTGGCTGCAGAGCCTACGTACGAGATCAGTCATTGAATCAGAAAAACAAGACACTGAAAACGAAACCGCGAGCGTTAGGGGGCTACTTAGTCGGATATAAAGCCTCAAACATATGGCTTATCTGGATCCCCAGTAAGCAACGAATCGAAACAGCGAGGGATGTTATATTTGATGAATCAAAGCTTTATGATCCGAATCAACCATTCTTGGAGGATGAGATTGTGGAGGAATCGCCATTTCCACCAATTGAAACGACCGAAATCAACCGACATGATGAATGGGAACCGTTGGAGATTAGGGATGAAGTTGAAATGACACCTGAGGGGGTGGCCAATGATTCTGCCGTAGAGAGCGGTCAGAGTTCAGCCAATCAGAATGCTCAGAGCTGTCAGAATAAGGTTAGGTCACCTGGCCAAGCCCCACAACCTTATCTTACCCCGGAATCAACTCCAGCTTCAATGCCAGGATCATGGGAATTCGACACTACAACAGATCAGGCAGATCGAACAGATCAAGCAGATCGAACAGATCAAGCAGATCGAACAGATCAAGCAGATCGAACAGATCAAGCAGATCGAACAGATTCACCAAGCCAGTGGTTGCTTCAATCGCTCGAAGAAGCTACGCAAGCAGCTACGGAAGGAGATATTGATCGCGATACTACTCCGACGCCAGTATCACGCTCAGGGGGTGGGATTCAGGAATCTCAACCTTCTGAGGCAGCTGCACGGCCAATCAGAAGACGAAATCGAGAAGGATTAGATCAATCATTGATTATTGAAGGCAAACGTGAACGTCGAGCAAATCGAGATTCGAACTATGAATATGGAAGCTTTGTACAAACTATCAAACTGCCTGAAGCATCAGAGAATGCTCTTCACGCAGCATTTACTGCAGTCGTGAACAGGAAAATTCATCGATCTGAATTACCCCTACTACCGCGAAATTGGAATGAACTGCTTAAGCATCCATTGAAGGATGATTTCATCCTTGCTGCAAGCAAAGAACATGCAGGATTGAAACAGAAAGACACTTTTAAAGTTGTCAATATCAGTGAAGCTGCAGATCAAGAGATTTTGCCAGTTATATGGGTGTTTACCTATAAATTCGACGAAAATGGCAACTATCTCAAGGCTAAGGCACGAATTTGTGTACGAGGAGATCTTCAGGCACGATCAACAGAAGAAAATCGTGCAGGAACAGCTTCCGCGAGGATCTTCAGAACTTTAATGGCTTTAGTTACTGCATTTGATCTTGATACAGACCAAAAAGATGCAGTTAATGCATTTTTGAACGCCTTTTTGGATCAGGTGGTATATGCAAGGATGCCAGAGGATTCAAGCAACCAGGAAAGATCTGGAAGGTCTTAAGAGCACTATATGGCCTTCGAAAATCGCCTCGACTATGGCAGAAAGAGCTGTCCGCAATGCTTCAAGAATATGGACTTGAATCTATCCCTGAAGAAGAGTGTCTCTTTATAAGTGCCAACTTACTAGTCCTTTTCTATGTGGATGATATCATTATTATCAATCGGCCTACCCCAGAAGCCCGCGCAGAGGCAAAACGATTCAAAATTGCCCTAGCGGCTCGCTATGAGCTAAGACATATGGGAGAAGTTGCATGGTTTCTGAACATTCGAGTTATTCGAGATCGACCGAATAAGAAGCTATGGCTTTGCCAAGATGCTTACATGGAGCAAATGGCTGCAAAATTTCACCTTAACGACTTGACTAGATGGCCTGAAACGCCTCTACGTACGAATATCGAACTACTTCCCAATGAAGAGCAAGCTACACCAGGTCGAATCCATGAATATCAGCAGAAAACTGGTTCCGCTCTATTTCCAACCATTATTACTAGGCCTGATGCAGCCCTAGCAGTCAACGAACTATCGAGATTCTCAAAGAACCCTTCGCCGAGTCATATAGAGGCAATCAATCGAGTTATTGCTTATCTCTATGACACCCGCTATCTAGCACTTGAGTTCAGCGCCAGCGAGCATGCAGACGAGGTCTACATTACTGCAAGTGATGCTTCATTTGCTAATAATGAAGATAGGAAGAGTACTGGAGGATATCTCTGCAAGCTATTTGGAGGTCCAATTGAATGGAAATCGGGCAAACAACGCGCAGTCACTACGTCAACTACTGAAGCAGAGTATGTGGCACTTGCAGAAGCTGCTAAAGCAACATATTGGTGGCGCAGAGTCTTCAAATCATTGGAGTTTGATCCAGGTCATTCGTTTGCTATCTATTGTGACAACAGGCAGACTATCGATCTGCTTACCAAGGATACTGCCCAACGGAGCAAGTTACGCCATGTTGATATCAACAGATCATGGCTTCGACAAGAGGTTCAAGAAGGGAGACTTCAAGTCAAATGGATTCCTACCAACCAAATGACTGCAGATGGGTTCACGAAGGCTCTCCCAGTTCAAAAACACCGAGAATTTGTGAAGATGCTCAATTTGGTCAACATCAAGGATCTTATTCATGACTAAATGGGTATATGCAGCGCTCATTTCAACATTGACCGCTGAGGGGGTGTGTCAACCGTATGTGACCGCTAGTTACATAGGAGACCTTCATCATTCGATATTCCTATGGGTAACATTACTAGCAATTACGCCTAGAGAGACGGCCAACAATATCACTTTATAGATCATTGCCTAGGCCACGGCCCTCCCAAAATGCTCGCGAGAGGACACAGAAAGCTCGCTTTGAAGAATGTCCCAGTCTTCCTGCAGGCAAACTCCTTCCAGCTCAGTGATAATCCTGTTTTCTTGATCATCTGATAACTCCTCAAGCGAAGGTAATATCCATTTTCCAGTCCACTCTTTGACTTTCCCCTGCACATCTTCCAGGGATGCCTTCATGGTGGTGAATACGTGTTTCAATAAGGTGTCGCGATCCTCGGCCTTAAATATGTTGTGGAAGGCCTGCTTTTATCAGGATTGATTAGAGTACTCATCATATTTCTAAACGTGATGGGCTCGTCGTGCGGTATCTTCGAAGTAGAAGATTCTGCAGGAGGGGGGGGAAGGTCCCTGATAGGCTTGTTAGTTAGACCTTGGAGCAACAAAGCTAGAGTGTGATTTATCTCTCAACTCACCTTCTTCGTCCTTTTGCTTCTCTTTGATCTGGTGGTGGGCATTGTGAAGCGAAGGGGATGCGAGAGTTCGGGAGGTAGGTAATTGGAACGGAGAAGAGAAGAGAGAGGGTGAGGGTCCAAGGAGCAAGAAAGAGAGGGAGGAAGAGAGCGAAGTCCTTCCCCTCCCCTCTTACAAGCCGAAAATAGCGCAGTCTTTGTTGAGGAAACTTTCCAATGGAGCTGGTGCGCCGTCCCAGTCAGTCAGCAACCAGAACAAGGCCTCTCTTAAGACAATCTCCGTCAGACATGCAACCTGACTGGAAAACGTTTTGCCCGTCTGCGCCTTCACCGGCCAGTACTATTGACGCCAAAGGGGTTCCTTTCGCGGTTGTTTGAGAGGAAGCATTCTTCTGGACTTACCAGAAGGCGAAGACATTTTCTTTTTCCCCGTCACTTGTCTGTTGGCTAAATTGTCGTCTTTTCCCTTTCCCTTCTTGGGCCAGTCGGTGACAACCGTTCGCACTGGCAAATGAGGCTTTGATCCCGTAGCTAAACGGGTGCAAACTTGGAGATAGGGGATAAAAGCAGAATGGAGGCGGTAGGGCAGAAGAAATCCTGGGACTTTTCTTTGTTTGGGCGCCCTCATCTTTCATTCCGCCATCGAAACCTCCGTTTTCCAAGGTGGATGCATCGTCAGAAACGTCGGCCACAAAATGCTTCAGGGCCTGAAACAAATGGAAAGTCAGTCTGGAAGGCCGATCAGGGCTGGCCTATTCATTCAGGTACAAGTAGGCAGGCATCAAGCCCTTATAAAAAGACACTCCCTCCCCCCCCCCCCGCCAAATGGAGGGTGATGACCCCTAAGCCTACGAACTTTTGCAGCGCATTCGAGCACTTCTTAAGAATCTCTCGGTTTATCTTCGCGTTAGTCTATACCCACGCGTTTTCTTCTTCTTAGCCTGTGGAAATCATCTCGGATCTTCTAAAGCGACTCTACACCGAATTCCTCGCCTTTTTGGCCGGAAAATCTTTTCGAAGCGCTGTTCCGCCAATCCAGTTCTGGTTCACTCTACCAGCAACTTGGTCCAACCCCACTCGCATGCGCATGCTGGAGGCAATCAATGGGGCTGGTTTTCTCAGCCGAGACGTAGACACGATCTATTTCATCACTGAGGCCGAATCTGCTGCTTCGTATTATGTCAATACCCATTCTGAGTCCTTCGAGGTTGGTTTGATTCTATACAACATGCATTATGTGTCTTCCGCTCACTTATCGATTCGGTAGCCCGGCGACATCGTTCGAGTTTGCGACGCCGGTGGGGGCACTACGATTAGTTGGAATGAAGAAACCTGGATGATTAGGCACGCTGATGTAGTTGACAGAACTTTGCCGCTTTTTTCATTCAAAGCGCAAATCCAAGTTTAGCTGGTCAGCAACTCGCTTTCACAGGTAGGTTCCTTGAGACAGAAGTTCAAATGGACATGCTACTGATCAGTGGCAGCGATTCGATGCGGCGCTGCCGATGTTGATTACAAGCTGTACAATATCCTATGCCGTGGGCTCGGCCAGTCGGTCAACGAGTTGAATGAAGAGCTTCGTGGACCGACAGGCAAGCTGATGCGAGTCATCAGAAGAGACAAGGCCAAGTTTGAGCGCGACCCAGTAACAGTTCCACTGCAAACTGTGGCTCGCAACGCCAACCCTGCAGTGTACGATCGGAGACGATCTCGATTCACATTTCATCCTCACGATGTGCAGGGCGCATACAGGCCTGTTATCAATGTTGTCCTGAGCACCCTACTCCAGCAATTGAATAACATGGCAATCTCCAATCCCAGCGCCATCGTACGTTCTCCTCCACCTCATTTGTCTTATCCAAAATCAAAGTCATGCATTAGACTGACTTGCTATGCAGAAAATTCTTTTGACCGGGGGGCTTAGCAAAGCTTTCCATGTTCAAGAGGAGGTGAAGAATTTTATGCTCCGTCAAGACCTGGCATATTCGATTTATCCTGTTACGTAAGTATAACCTTGATTCCTATTACCAGTCGCAGTCCGTGTATGACTCATTCACCCTTCTTCCCTTATAGAGAAGCGGTTGCACATGGAGCCGTATGGCGAGACTTGTTCGGGGGACTCAACCAGTCACCCAAGTCTCCCAGGAATTTTGGCTTGGTTTCAAGAGAGCTTCCACCGCTTTCACCTGCTGAGCGACGGCCATTGCAAGTGCCTCCAATTTTTGGCCGTCCTGTCTGGTTCCTTCCGAAGGTTTGCTGCTTCATTCCCATCCCCATTAACCTATACTAACTCTTTGCAGGACAAAGGATTCAGCGTCCCTCATCAAGGGTGCTTGACGGTGAAGATTTGCCATGGAAGTAATGATCCTGACATAGTTACCATCGCAATTTGCGAGAATGACGCTTCGGGTGACCCCCCGGCGCAACTAGACAGTCGATTTAAGTATCCCCGAGAACTGATTCTGATTTTGGCGGGGTTGTTTCCATTAACACAGTGCGATATACGCGCAGCGTGCCGGACCGATCGCTTCCTCACCTTGAATTTCGACGGGGCCGCCCTGGAATACTTCTGGCACCAGAAAGTCGGAGACGAGGTCTTTTACTGTCTGGAAGTGAAGGTCATTTGGACTATACCGGCCAGCGACGGATGGATCACTCTTCACGCGTTCGCCCTGGGGCGCCGGATTGGGGAGGTAGAAGTCAACATGCAGAATGGGTTCTGAATCTCTTTGGGAATCGTCCCCCGGCGTGGCTTGGTTAGTAGTAGTCCTGTATTAGAAGAGTGTATCATCCCATTCACAGCTGGTTTTTGAACTCTGATTTTGGTCCGTTCCCCGCGTCTTTGTATGTACGGACTACGGAGTCTGCTGCGGGATTTATTCTCCCCCACCCCGATCAGTCCGGTTCAGACTTCAGAACTGCCAATAATTCCGCCCGTTTTAGGCACAGAGGGGGGAAAGAGGTCAGAAAATTCGGATGGACGGGGAGAACGACAAGGAGAAATAATGGGAAATGATCCAAGCTCGGTTTCCCAAGATCAAAGTGAAGGAAAAGAAAGAGGAGAAGTGTAGAGTCCCCGCCAGATGACGACAAGGCAGCCCAGCCCACCTCTTAAGTAAGCCATGGGGGGTTCCTGACGAGCGGCCTCAGGCCAGTCAGTGTCAACGAACCCCCACGTGCCGTCGCCGCCGGGAATTGGTGGAAAGTTTATGGCGGGCACGAGGCTGCGCAGTGTGGTTTGATTGCCTGCAGAGGAAGATTCATGGCTGTGGAACATGATCGACCCTCCACAGTCTGTACAGGGTACACAGGATGTACTCAGTGTACTGCTCATACTTACTCTGATAGATAGAGAGTACTTCCGGAGTACCTGCCATCGTCAATACCGACCGCGTATGGTACGGTAATGCTCCGTCGCGAAGTGGACAGCCCCGGAACTTCCCGGCGCCGGTGGCCGCGGATCCTTCCCCCGACGGCCAATCAAGGGGGCCACGCGCCAACTTTGCTCGTACGCACCCGGTTTTGGTGGTCGTTATGGGGCGGGTCATCCTGGACGGGGCTCGTACCTACAGAGTATCTTGCGATAAGGTATCCATAGGTAGTATACTCCGTAAAAGAGTCGAAGTCTTAAAGGTCACACACCTGCCCGCCTCTCGGACCTTCCTAGATAATCCCTAATGCCAGGATACCTGCATCTCCGGTACCCAATGCCGCACTCTGCCTGCAAAGTGATACCTCTGGCGCAAGTACCCTCCAGGTAACAATACGAGGTCGCACCTGACATTCCATTCTTATCGCTATTTTTATTATTATTTGATTATTATTGACGGCCCTCCTTACTTGCTGCCCCTCCCCTCTTCCTTCTCCTCTCTTGCCCTCTCTTGCCCCCTAAACTAAACTACTCTTCTTCATCTCTGTCATCTGCTCCAGACTTCTTCCGTCTTCCTTCCCAGATTAACTCATCCGTGGATTTTCTTATCTCTTTCCGGTCGAACTTGACGTCCTCTTGTCTTCGCTTCGCCAGATCCAACTCCCGCGTCTACTAGCTACTAGTACCTTGTTAGCGCGTCGCATCGCATCGCATCGCATTCACGCTGCAGTTTCCTGCCTTGACTGCGATCTCGACTCTCTTTGGAACTCTCCCAGTCTCTTGAATCCCGTGAGTCTGACCGCATCCTTTGTTGCGTTCGGAGACCGTTGCTTTTTCTACTCCGAGTCCTTTTTTCTTTGTCTGTCTCACCCACGCCTCATTCCATTTGTTTGTTCTTTACTTTCACTCCCTGTTAGTCATCCCTTCATCCGTGGTTGCGTCGCGCTGTTTGGTTGGCCGGTCCCCTTCTGACTCAGGCGACATTGATCGAAACAGGTTATCATTTGGCCACCTCACCAGGGACTACTTAATTTCCCCCTCCCATAATCAATCCATCATGGCTGCCCCGATCACTACTTCTAGCATTGCCATGGCCCTTGCGGGCAAGACGGCCTCTGTCGATATCCCCAAGCCTCGTTCGGCTTTCGCCGGCGATGGCGATGCCTCCCGTCATCCGGCCCTGTTGCCGACTCCCCCCAACTCTATCTCTCCGACCCTTCTCCCGCAAGCCTTCAAACGACGGGACAACCTCCCGGGCTCGCCTCCCTTTGCCACGTCGCAGTTCGACTCCGATATTGACCTGGGCGATGTCGCCCAACATGCGGTCAGTCGCGGCCAGCATCTCTCGCCCGGCGATGTTGATAGCACCGGGGCCATCAGCCCGGAGATGCTAGCCCAGTACCATCTTCCAAACATCATGCTACAGCATGGTCCGCTGGCCATCCGACACATTATGGGTTATTTAACCACGTCGGTTCCCGGTTTCTCCATGATTGCTCCCGCCAAAGCGCGGCGATTAGTCGTGGCCGCGTTGGAGAGCCGCGCGACCTGCGACAAGGGAAGTGGTGCGAAAAGCGAGATCGTGTTCGAGAAAGTCGGATGGGGTCGGTGGGATGCACGGCGCCGCGGTGAGCCGCTACGGGGTGCACAGCACCCGAACCTGTCGCCTCCATCTAGTCTCTCGAACTCCTTCCCACAGAAGGCCATGCAGATCCCAGTCAAACGGGATAGTCTACAACCATACGGTTCCAGCGTCGCTGGCGACTTCGCCGTTTTATCTTACACGGAACGAGACTACGGCGTCCCTGGGGATATCAGTATGCTAGAAGACGAAGCGGATAAGATGTCCCTTGATGGGGACGAGCGTGAATATTGCTCTTCTTCAGAGGCGCCGGACGACGAAATCCCAGACGAGGATTGGGGCGAAGAGGACGTGACCGACGAGGAAGATTGGGCGCAGATAGGCGCAGCAGCGCTTCGTGCACAATCACTCAACGGCGGAGGCGGTTTTGTTCATGGGAAGCACCCGTCTCCGCAACTCCGAGGGGGCGGGCCTGTCTCGTCTTCGCTGGCGAAATCAGCGCCACAAAATATACCCATTCAACAGCTAGGGTTCTCTCTACCAGACGGCGTCGTCAAGGACAGAGAAGAACGTGTCGCTGTCGAAGCGTTGTTGCGACTTGGCTCGATGTGAGCAATGAGTTCTCGTGGCTGGTCCATTCAACAACTTTTACTTCTCTTACCCCTTTTCTTTCCCCCTTATACTTTTTTTCCCATTCACTTCTCGTATAACTTTTTTCGCAACGATTATCTGATACATTGCCAGTATATTCGACTGGCTCGACTGGCTTACGACGCATTGGGATTTGGTAGGCGTTTTACCCGGAATCCCTATATTGAACATATCCTCTACTGTTTTTGCATGACGCATCCACCATGTCTATGACTGGGCGCTTCCTTTTTCTTTTGAACGGGAAAAAAAACCTAACACCAAACGACCTATCCATCATGTTTGATGTAATACCTCTCTACTCATCATCTTACCACGACATACCCTTCGTTGTATCTTGCAATTCTTTCATGCTCCCCATCGCGAGTCGAAAACCGGGTGCATTTAACATGCTGGTTCGCATGGGGGGCTTTTGTCCATATCATTTGGCAGGGACCGAGATTCATGGCATTCAGACCTGAGAGCGAGACTCTCGGGCTGAACTAAAGATAGAAATTAATCATTTGCCTTGGCATCACGAGCACTTCTGTTTGACCGCCCATCATACGTAGGAAATTTAGTTCTATACAACCCATATTCCTATTACCTCATCCTTTGCAGGGAGTATGATTGATTGTTCTGAAATTGAAACATAGTCTCCACCACCTCCACCGTGACTACGTTAATCAAGCCCTAGCAAATAAATCCCCATAAATAAAACCCATGCCCAGAGAGGCGTCAGGGAGGGACTGGGAGTATGCATGCAGTAGTATATGGTTACAGGCCGTACTCGTGCAATTACATATGGTTAACAACTAGTTATTCATGACCTGTCAAAGCTGCTATCTAATTTAATTTGGTTTGGTTTACTCCATAGTATGTATGCAGCTATGTATGTACAGTACGTATGTGTTGTTTTATACCTCATACCTCTCACCTTGAGAGGATTAATTCTGACTGATCTATCTCTCACCGACTTCTCGTCCACTATACCACCAACCTACCTACATATGTGCGTGCGACAGTACAACCATATTATTGACCTGAGCATTGGTGTATGTTTTTTTAATGAAAACAAGGCATTATGAATTTATTTGGTTTTTATTTGCCCCTGGTGAAATTATTCTTCACCGTTGAATGAAATCAAACCCCTTCGCCTTTACGGCACCCTTGTGGGTGTCTATTTTCAGTAACCTTGTACATTCATTCATTCATTCATACATACATATATGCTTGAATAGAACCCATCAAGCAATTCATGCAAGCTTGGTCCAATCCAATCCAATATAACCTACTAAAACTGCCTCCACGTTGGAATTTGGAAACATGCAATGCCTGCCTATCTACCTAACCTAGCCCAACCTGACCTTCCATTACTCAACCTATGCAAGTAACGCAACGCAAACCAACCCAGATTTTGATTAGAGAAAACAAAGAGAGAGGTAGAGACAGAAACAGATCAAACAAAACCATCTCCCCAGATTGTTTGAAAGACCTCAAACTCTCATCCATTCCCATCCCCATCCCTACCTATCCAAAAAGAAAACCCAACCAACTCCATTACCTAAACCTATACTCAATCTAATATCACTTATCATGAGCATCATTAATCCGTTTCCAAACCTCAGCCTCCACCTCCGCCAATTTACTTCCCGCACTGGAAACCCACGATTTGGCACTCTCCATGAACCCAGACGCGGAACTACCTAATCCTGCGTCGTCGTCGGCGTCGACCATGCCTGTGCTGCCGGTCTGATGGTGTAGCGGGAGGCTGGTGGAGACAGGCGTGGGGGCTTGGTAGACGGAGGCGTAAGGTGTGGTGGTGGAGTTGGGGGATTGTTGGAGTTGAAACGGGTGTGTGGTAGCAGCAGGATAGCTGTTCATGTAACCGTGGGTACTACTGGCGTTGTTATCGAGAGGTGCTGTGGGTGCCGCTGTGGGTGCCGCCGTGGGTGTTGGTAGAGGGAGTCTGCCGGGCTGCGGGTTGGGTGGTCCTTCGCCAGCCTTAGGGGGTGGGGGAATCGTCGAAGGTAGGCCATGTCCTCCTTGGTTAGTAGGAGATGTAGTGTTAGCCGAAATATCGATGGGATGTATAGGTAGCGGTTCGGGTTGAGCGCCGGGTTGGGGAGCGGGAGGCGAGGTGGTGCTGCTGCTGGTGTTGGTGGGTTCGGTGGTGGTTTTGGTGGGCGCGAGCGTTGGCTCTTCTGGTGCTGGGATCCCCGTTGGAGCTGGAACTGAGGGTATGCTTCCTGGTTGAGCGGTGGGGGTAGACTGGGGTGGTGCGGAGGTAGTTGCAGCTATAGTAGAGGGTGGGAGATGCTGCTGCTGCTGCTGCTCGTTTTGGGGATCGGATGGCGAGGCCGATGATGAAGTTGGAGTATGAGTCGCTTCGCCGGGAGTGGAAGACATGGTGTTGATAAGATGGAATACTCAATGGTGAATTGGAACCAGGCTATGTCGATTGAGGAAGCAAGTACAGTAGTAGTAGACCTTAGCAAGGGAGCTCCCAGGAAGCTTCACCTTACAAGGGGAGTGAAAACGTCATCGCATGCACGTGACAAAGAGGCCATGTGACCGAGCAGAATTTTCTACAACAAATCCCAAAAGACACGAGGATTGGGTTTCGTACGAGGCAAGAGGTACAGTTGAAAAAGAAAAAAAAAAGAAATAAGCTTGCAGGCAGTAAAATACAACTGGTACAAGAGGAAATATCACACTCTATGCGCAAGACTTTTTTTACCAATTCCACTCTTCTTGACGCATATCTCTAAGTTCTTCCTCATCATTACCAGTCACCTGGCAGTTACGCCAAGCGATGGTCACCCCCTACCCCAATAATTCACGTGGATGTGACGCGAATTGAACTAAATCAATCGCTTATTTGAACTTCTTTCCGAAGAGGAGGAGCTGGGCCTGGTCGTAGATAGACAGGACACCGGCACCGGCGACACCACGGAGGATGTTAGCACCGGCACCCTTGAAGAGGGAACCCATACCCTCCTTGGCGACGATCTGGCGGAAAGCGTCGAAGGAAGAGTTGTACTTAACGGCCTGTGGAGAGAGATCAATGTCCGTTCATTGAGATCGGAATGGGGACTAAAAAGTTTTACTTACCTCACCGGAGGTCATCATCATACGACGACGGACGGTGTCAAGAGGGTACGAGGCGATACCGGCACCGGTGGTGACAGTCCAGCCGAGCAGGAAGGAAGCCAGGAAGTTGCCCTCGAGGGATCCGGTAAGGAGGACGGGCTTGACCGAGTCGTACATACCGAAGTACAGACCTCGGTAGACGACGATTCCAAGAACAGAGGGACCGAAACCACGGTAGAGACCGGCAATACCGTCGGAGGCGAGGGTCTTCTTGTAGACATCAACGAGACCGTTGAACTGACGGTCACCACCGCCCTTGGCGGACTTGGCGTCGTTGGCAAGACGGGTACGGGCGTAGTCGAGAGAGTAGACGAAAGCGAGGGAAGTGGCACCAGCAGCCTGGATTATCGGTTAGACATGTCATCTGGATATTATTGGAGGCTGGAATACGTACACCACCGGAGGCAAGGTTACCCATCATCCACTTGCCGTATCCATCACGCTCCTTCTTGTAGGAGAACATGGACTTGTAGGTGTCACGGAAGGCGAAGTTGAGAGCCTGGGTAGGGAAGTAACGGATGACGTTGGCAGTGTTACCTCTCCACAGGGAGACGACACCCTCGGAGGCGGCGGTACGCTTGAAGCAGTCGGTGATACCGTTGTACTTGCGGTCGAGACGACCGGCGCGAAGCATCTCATCCTATAAGAAAGCTGTATTAGCGTCTGCATACACCAGGCAAGGTCGAAGAAAGGGGTTGAAAAAAAATTTTCGCGATAAGCCATTTCCGGTCAAAGCAGGTCGTCGACCCCAAATGGCACGTCGAATGGCACATTTTTCGAAAGATTTTGCATTCACCCCTTTCTCGAATGGATATTGGGGAAATACCAACCTGGTTCTGGATGAGGAGCTTGATACGCTCGATGGGGGCAGCAGCAGTCTTGGAGACGGCAGCGGAAACACCACCCACTAGAAGTAGTCAGTTAGTTGACATGATCGCAAACAAGGCAAAGATATTGGTGCCTTTCAGGCGTTGATTGATTGCTGAAGGCTTATCAACCGAACACCTGTTCAATGGATGGACATACTCAGGAAGTCGACGACGAAGCCCTGAAGAAAAATTTGTTAGTCGAGCATTCCCCAAAATACCAATTGCCAAATCCGAAAATTCCCAGATTCATGAACCCATCTTCAACCGCCAAATAAAGAATTTGCATCCTCGAGAGATGCCAAAGACTCGATTTGGGTCGGACAGGGCGCGTGACCTAGGATCCCGGACTGGCGACGAGGGCGAGTAGCAACTTACGGGCATACCCATGACCGACTTGTCGGCCTGGTTAACGTCACCCTTGGCCATGATGACGGCTGTGAAGAACAAGAACTAAAAGAAACAAAAAGAGAGGAGATGGATTGATGAGAGTGTCACGAAAACAGGACACTTCAAAAGGGATGGGGAAGAAAGAAAGAGAGAAGAGAGAAGGGGAAGGGGAGAAAAAATAGCGAGGGAAGGGCTCTTGTAAGCGGGAAGAAGCGAGCGGAGACGCTAAGACCTTTTAGTTTGAGTTTTCCTGGCCTGAAATTTTTTTATTTTGCAGGCAAAAAAAAGAAAAAAGGAAAAAAAAAACCGGACCCGGCGCTAATGCTGGCCCAGGCAACGAGAGCCGATATCTCCCGATTGCTCCCAGAAAATGCCTTCCCGACTGCTGTACGGAGTAAAGGACGTGAGATGCTGGGAATAATCGGTGAAGACAACACAGTAGAGGGAAAATTCAGGAAAACTTCCAATTCCAACCCAACCTCAATTCCCAGGGATTATCTACGAACCCTCGGTGTGTCGCTCTACTCAGTATGCAATTCCAACCCCCATCCCTTGAATACGGAACTGAATACTCCGCCCGTCTAGGGAGGTTCCTCTCCCCCCCGGCTTGACCGAACCAGCGCTGGAGCCTCGCCGTCTCCGCTCACACGCACACCCACCGCGACTGGACTGGACTGGACACCTCTCTTCTTCTGCTGCCGCGGCGACAGACTCGGGGAAATCTCTCCTCTCTTCCAGACATTCTGGTCCCGAGTACCCGATGGCAAATTTGCACTTCCTCTGACTGGTTCGCCGTCACTTTGTCTTCCTCGAACTTACCCGGAACAGTTAGTTCTTTACTCCATATTGTGGTTAATCTGATTTCTGAATGAGATTTTTTTTAAGAAAAAAAACCTGTCAATCATAATGGCCAGAAATAATGAAATGGGAATTAAAATTAGACTGGAGCATGGACAATAAAAATCACCAAAATAAACAATCCACAATAATTCCTGGCAGCGTCGGCTCTTTCGGCTGTCCTTCCTCCATCCCGTGATTTCCTGGGTCTCTTCCGGCACTCCCGCCTTGCCGCTTTAACAGGAGGTGGGGCACGTGATTGAAACGTCTCCCTTGGCCTCGTTGCTCTCCAGATATATATTCCATCTGTCTTGGCGGGTTTGGTTCTTTTGTATAGACGATTTCTATGCCAGGGGTAGGCTGCCGAAGTGGCCAAAAACGATTAAAAAATGATTGAATTGATTGAATTGCTTGATCAACTAACCAGGGGTCAGAATAGGCCCTTTTATCATTGATTTTACGTGATCTTTATGGCCGATATCAAGGAATCCTCCGCTTAGTACGATATCTTCGGAACTTGCCTTTAGCGAAGGTTTGGCGGATTGCCAGAAGCATCTAGATCTTCCACATTTTGCATGGAACCCGACTGCGGAATTTACCGATTGTTATTTCAGTCTCTACACAGCAAAAGACCAAAAGAAATAAGAGACGATTGAATCTCAGAGCATCTCATTATACAAATTCCAACACGGACTTCTTTACAGCAACCTAGACGCATGAATGGAATGAAACAACCCTCCTCGTACTTAGTTCTTCTTGGACCTCTTTCTCTTCTTCTTTCGTGGCTCCCCTTCGCGGATATCAACGTTGTCGCCATCAGCGGCATCGTCTTTCTCGGCGACCTTCTCACCACCGAAGGAGAACTCGGGCCCATCTTCGGTACCAAAAGTATCCTTGCGCCATTGCCTCAACCGAGCTTTCTTGCCCAGTTTCCTCTGGTCTTTGCTCTTCTTTTCGGCGTCGCGGAATGATGCAAGCTTCTTCAGACCGGCGAACTGGTTAAGGTGAGTGTCGTCAGCCATGAGGATGTCCCGTGCCGTCAAGCCGAAGCTCTGGGGAGACGTTTCTCTGTAGCGGAAATGCCCGGTGTTCTTCTTGCTCGCGCCCGGAAGAAGGGCCGCGTCAAGGTCCAAATTGCGGTCGACGGCCTCGTCAATGCGAAGTCGATCCTTGCGAGCCTCGCGCTTCTGGTCCCTTTTCTCCTGGGCTTTGCTCTTCTTGTTCTTGGAAGCGCCTTCACCGGCGTCATCGGCATCCTCCATCTCAGCATCCGATGCGGGTTTTTCTTCGTCGTCTTCAAAATCCGGGACAAGATCAGTGATGTCAATGTCATCATCCCAGGTAGGCTTCTTGGGGTGTTTTTTCTTGCTCTCGCCGTCGCCGCCAAATTCGTCGCCCTCCGCGTAGTATTCCTCGCCGAAGTTCTTCTGCATTTCCTTCTCCCAATCTTTGTCATCCCAAGCGCCATCCAAGAACTTGGCCCAGTCCTCGTCGGTAAATTGAGATGCGCGAAGTCCTGCTACTTCCTTGACCTTGTTGACCTTTTCTTGGAGCTCTTCTGTTTTGAGTTTGCGCAACCGATTCTTTTCGGTCTCCCGCTGTTTCTTCTCCTCCTCCTTTCTTTGGCGTTCAGCATCCCTGATCTTCTTTCTGCCGCTCGTATCATCCCGACGAACGGATTGCTTGTTTGTTAGGTCACGAGAGTGAGTAATCAGATGGGTGTTGATCTTGCTAGGGTCCTCGAAGCGGAAATTGTATGCCTCCTCGAAAGCCTCCGCTCGCGCATCTTCCTCCTCATCATCAGACTCAAAAGGTTGATGGTTTGCTCTCTCGGCCGGGATCCAAGCCCTTGCAGAAAGGAAATTTGACAGGAAACTTTCCGGGTCTTTGTCCGCGTTCTCAAGGTCGAGCTTGTTGGTTTTCTTGGACTCGGGGAGTGGTTCAGGTGCTGACTTGCGCACAAGGAAGTCCTCATCCTCTGCTTCATTGTTCGAAGACTGATCCTCATCGTCGGCCGCGGCATGCATTTGCTGGACAATCGATTTCTTCAGGTCTGCTTGCTCCTGGGCATATGTTCTAGGCGCATCGGAGGTGTCATCCTCTGGTAGGGGGTTACCACTCAGAAGGTTTTCCCGGTGGTAATCTCGAAGAGTCATGGATTTCTCTTTCTTCTTCTCCCCATCCTCCGGCTTGGCATTTGCATCTTCTTCGGCGTAGAATTGGACGTTACTGTCGTAAACTCGGGGATCCTTTGATCGAATCGCTTTCAGGGTTGCCATGATCTCTTGGTCAAGTGCGGTAGTTGCCAGCTCTCCATCTTCGTCTTCCTCTTCAGATGATGACTCGTCCTCCGAGCCCGATCCATCGCGGCCTTTCGAGTCTTTGCCTAGCTTTGTTTCCACTATAGAGGACGGAGTCCAAGTTAGCACGCCATCATTCATACAGCCTGTACGAGAATATCATGAGCACTCACATCTCTGGATTTCCTCCCGCTTCTTATTATGCTCAAATCGACGGGCATACTCTTCGTTGATTTTGAAATTGAAGCCATCGGCCTGGTTGTTGATTGAAACTCCGCCAGACTCATCTCCAGTGTCGCTAGAGCTGTCATCATCAAGAAGCTTGCGCGACTTCTTAGTTGGAGGCTCCATATCTGCTGTGATTTAAAGACACAACTTAATTGAATGGTAGTGCCTTTGCGTAAGAAACAGAGTGGTAACTGCGCTTTCTTCATAGAACCAAGAAAAGAGAAAAAAAATGGCCGCGACCGGCAGAAAAAATTGCCCGTCTTCACCGCCCGACCAGGCCCGACGATGCTGCCTGAGAAACCAGGCTTCAAGACAAGTCACTGACGTAGCCAATTAGATCATGCGCGGGCCTGGTCGAGTCCCCGTATAGCTCGAGGCCGGGCGCTGAAAGCTTCCTGGTCCATGACCCTCTCTCCCCATCTGACATATCTCACGGCCTGCTTTCGGTTCTCCTTATTTTTCATTTCTTATCTCCCTTCGAATTCCCTAGTTGATCGTCTTTCTGTCGTTACCCCTTGTTCGCGTCAGTGTATGGCCGGAGACATACACTAGATGTCGACTCAGCCGCAGAAGCCATTACCCCAGGTTGGGAAGCTTGTCAGCGTGGTGTAAGTCGCTCGAATGATTGCCCTTAATGGAAGAACCAGGAGAAGTGCTTGGATCTGACATTTGCGTATAGTCCAGTAGGTTTAAAGGAGGCTGCCCTCGATTCGCCGACATTTCGTGCCACCACACTCCACTTCTCCGATCAGATCGAATTCCTCGAAAGATGGCTCGATGGATACGCGAAGGCCGCATCCAAGCTCTCGATGGAGCTTGCAGCCATGGAGGGAATTGTGAACACGTTTCTATCCTACTCTATGAACCCCCTGGTGGTCTCCGAAGCCGTGCTCGACCATGATTACACACTGTTGTCAATGAGAAGGAGCGGTGACAGCTCGAGGGATCTATGGAACGGATTGGTATCCACCTCCAAACGGATAGAATCGCTCGTTTCCGAGCCCATCAGAGTTTTCATACAGGAAGATTTGCGGAATTTTAAGGTAAACTGACAAGTGTCATTCATGCTTACAACATACGCCCGTCAAAGTCTTACCCCACTATAGGAGACCCGCCGCCTACTCGACCAGGCGCAAAAACATTACGATTACTTACAGTCCCGATATGCATCGCAAGCAAAGTCGAAAGAACCATCGTCCCTAAGAGAAGATGCCTTCCAACTCCATGAGGCCCGCAAGGCGTACCTCAAAGCGTCGATGGACTTTTCGGTCCAGGCTCCTCAAGTCCGAAACAGTCTCGACAGGTTGTTGGTCCGAGTGTCATTCGATCAATGGCGGGAGTTCAAGACCTTCCATAATAACAATGGCTCGACATTTACGAAATGGGCTCAGGAGATGGATCGTATCAAAGGTTGGATTCATGAAATGGAGGGAAGCGAGAAGTCCTCCAAGCGGGAACTTCTGTCTGCCAGGAAGCAGATCGAAGAAGCTGCGGAGGTTGCCGTAAGGCCATCGCGTGAGTTGGAGGACTACTCGATCTCGACTGTCCCCTACCTTGGATCCCGCCCTTTGTCGACACTCGAGATGACGACAGAGGCTAGGCCGGAGAAGCAAGGGTGGGTGAATCTGCGCACTCTCTCAGGCAAGCCCACACGCACAATCTGGGTCAGGCGATGGGTTTTCTTGAAGAATGGAATCTTTGGCTGTCTTGTACAAGGAGCCCGCACTGGTGGAGTTGAGGAAAGTGAGAGAATAGGTGTCCTTCTCTGCAGCATTCGCCCGGCCTTCCAGGAGGAACGCCGCTTTTGCTTCGAGGTGAAGACTAAGAGCAACACCATCGTGCTTCAGGCAGAGACGCAAAAAGAACTCATGGATTGGATTGCGGCTTTTGAAGCCGCGAAACGTAAGGCTCTAGAGCGCCCAGCGAGCTCCGATCCTTCACTTTCCGGCAAAGACACGATTCAAGATCCTGCGTTTGCCATCTCGTCTCCTCCGGCCCCCGAATTTGCCGCTGATCCGGCTGATTCTCTCACCCCACACTCAAGCGAGGAACAAGGCTCATCCGAGCGGGGTGGAATGCTCCCTCTTCCAGACAGAGATCCAAACGCTCTCCGGAATAGCAGTGATTTTGGCGCGTACAGGCGCTTGACCTCCCTGGAACCCGAAAGCTCGGCGAGAGAACACACCTCGCGTATCATCCAGAAACTGGATCTTCATCGCAAATCCAACACGGTGCAACCCTCCAACTCTATACCTGGAGCTGGAGGTGGCATAGCCAGCTTGATCTCCGCCAGTCACACCGCTCTTGGCTCCGGTACTGCTACCCCATACGGCTCGCCGGAGAATGATATCAACAGGGGCAACGAATCTCCTACAACCTTGGCACCACCGACGCTGGCCAATCCCCCAGCTCCTACTAGCATGAGCAAAGCAGCCGTGATTGTTAGCAATGAACGGGGACTTGGATTAGGCCAGGCCGACAAAACGGGCGGCATGCCTAGCGGCATGATGGCAAACTTGTGGGGAAGTTCCAACTGGGGCTTCGTAAATCGACTGGAACGAGAAAAATTGGGACTCTCGGAAACGCATCAGGACACGGACTCGGGCCACCCTCTAACTTCGCCAGTTAGTGATTCATCAAAACAGAATCAGACATCAGAAGCCAAAACCCCCGCTGGACCAAACCCCGCTAAACCATCGGCTCCAGGCCCTCGTCATCGACAGACAATGAGTCTTGATGGAAGTCCAGCCAAGGTACAGCAGGCAATTATGGGAGTTATCCATGAGTATCCCAGCTACTATCCGCAGCAGCTCAAAATCCAGGATTCTCAATTCCGACTTTTGTTCCCCAATGTCAAAAGAGAGGAAGCCCTGGTCATGGTGTTCCGGGCTACGTGGAATCCAAACGATCAGCAAGAATTCCCTGGAAGAGCCTATGTGACTACACGCGATATATACTTCTATAGTCATTATTATGGGCTGGTACTGACCACGAGTGTTTCTCTGGAAAGCATCAAAGAAGTCACTGCGGCTCCTGGAAGAGACTGCGACTTCTTGTTCCTTCATACCATTCCACCTCCTGGCGAAGACACTCCCGGCCGAGTCACAGTCAAGACTTTCCTTGAGCCGCTGAAGCTCCTTCAAAGGCGTCTGAATTTCTTGATCAACGATTCTACAGCCGTCGAGCCACTTGGTTTGGAGGCCATCTTCAAGGCCCTCACCAAGATGGAGACGGATGCGTTGACTCGGACTCCCAGTGTAGACAGCTGGGAGGATGTGGCTGCCCAAGAAGACAAGCTAGCCGACAGCGAAGGCACCACCGACCAGCACCCCGGAAGAGATTTCCGGGCTCCAATTTACATTGACAAGGATTTGGACATACACTCCAAGAAGGCCGTCAACGGCAAGGATGTGCCGAGGTTCAGGTTGCCTACCCAGCCCGTACAATATGTTCCCCAAGGGAACTTACACCTAGCAGCTGAGAAGGAGTTTGATATCAGTCCCAAGGCGACTTTCCATATTCTCTTCGGGGACAAGAGTGCAGTCTGGCAGCTTCTCTTGCATCAGAGGAAGGCACAAGGTAGGATACCTAATTCTGTCTGAAGCCCCGGATCGCAGCTAACCAAATCATAAAAGACATCAAACAAGGACCTTGGACCAGAAATGAAGCGCGCAACCTACGGAGGGACTTGCATTATCAAATTGAGACAACCGATATCTTAGGTACGTATCTCCAGGTACGAAGCTTGTTTTCCACAGGGTATCTGACATCATCCAGGACGGTCCCAGGGCAAAGAGATCTCCGATTATCAATTGATCGATGTCCTAAATGATCACCTCTGCTATGTGGTCACGGATAAGCGAACTCCATGGCACCTGCCCTTCAAGCGGTCGTTCAGGCTGGTCAGCAAAATTGTCATCACCTTCATAGCTAAAGGGAAGAGTAAACTTTCCATCTATACGAAGGTGGAATGGCTGTGGTCACCTTGCGGTCTGCAGAGTGAGTATCTACCTCAATAACATGGTTCATTGAAACAACAAGGTTAACAATCCCTAGGTGTCATTGACAAGCAAGCCACGGGTGATTTGGAACAGGATGCCTTGGATCTACTAGATTTGGTTGGTGACCAGGTGCGCAGGCTTGGGGCTCACAGTCGAACCAAGAAGGCCATTACCATCTTCGGCCACGTCGGACGCCAGGGTTCTGTATCACAATTCTCCGGCCAACCGGATTTTAAAATCGAGCCTCGCAAGCCTCGAACCCAAAGAACGCTAGTGCAGCTGCTCTACGAGATCTTTGTCTCGTTCCTCGAGAGCGCCATTTCATCTGTGATGTTGTGGACGTTTGCTCTCCTGCAGTGGTTATGGAAGACTACGAGTGCGCACAAGGTAATCCTTCTGTTACTAGTATCAAGCATGTTCATGAACGGACTCTACACGTCGCAGGAGGCCTATGAGTGGTGGCATGATCGAAACGCCGAAAAATTCATGGCCCGTCTAGGCGTCCACCCGGATCAGGTCATGAGCAAAGCTATCTACATAAGAGATATTGACGATGCACTTGCAAACACAACAATTGGACAGACCAGCAATAACGCAAGCGAGTGCTTTGCTACTTTCCATCAGCAGACACTAGGTGGCGACGGGGCCTCGCGCTCCCTCGGTGTCTCGAGTTCGAGGGACTCCATGACCAAGAGTGCAGCCCGACGACTGCAGCAGACTCGCGAACGGCTCGCCTTGTATCGCCACAATCTCTTGGTGGCTCTCCGCGTGGTCAACAGTATCGAGAAGGAGGTCATCGAGAACGAATGGGAGCGCTGGCTCCGACAAGAGCTGCGGCGATGTCGTCAGGTGGAAGTTCTTCTCGGCAAGACCAAAGCTGGCGACGAGGTCGATCTGCAGGCAGACCGCATGGGCCAGACCATCTTTGCCGGCCTCTCCGGCGACGTCAGACAATGGTACGACCAATACTGCACGAGTTGCCAGCGGGAACAGGAACAACTCGTTGGCGACCACCGGATATCCGAGGTTTCATAGGCAGGCGGCGGAGGATGCATGTGCCGGTTTGATTTATCTCTTGTTTGGGATTTTGTTGAACGATACCCCGTTTGAAATTGGTTTCTTTTGAGGGGAACCGCATTGTATATTCCTCCCAGCGTGAATAGTTTTGGTTGCATCACAATTCCCATAATTCAATCCAAGGAGCAGTTCATACGCAGTCTAATACCGCTCGGTGGCACAAACATCAGCACCACCGGTCTAGTTAGCGCAGTAAACCTGTTCGTTGACAGCAACAACCGATTAATTCTGCCGGGGCTTGACGGCGCCCTCCTGGACGATATAGTAGACCACCGTGCCGTCGCCGCCCATGCTCTTATCCACCATGGCCAAGAGCAGTCTCTTTGTGCCCCACTCCCCAGTCTGACGAGCCTTCCGCCTATATTCGTAATACTCGGCTAGTTGTGCAGCCTTCTCCCCGTTCTGCGAACCAGCACGCTCCTCACCCTCGTCCCCTAGATCTTCCTCGGCGCTGTCAGGAAGCGAGTCAAACACCGCCGCCAGCTTGCGCAGACTCCACGATTGTCCATGCACAGTGGGAAGCACGAACATGCGCTCCAGCTCGACGTCGTCCTCGCGCAGTCCCTTCTGCAGCATGTACAGCTGCTCGTCGGGGTGGGTGTAGACGCGGTGCGGAGGAATTCCGGAGATCAGGAACAGGGCCGAGGATGCATCATCTGTCGAGGGAGGGTTCGATGTGGGGATCGGGATGTCGTGTACTTTCAGCGATGTCCAGAGATGCTGGTGCTGGAGGTTGTGGAGGATTTGGATGGTGCTTGCGGAGAGCGGATTGGGAGAGGCGGAGGCGGCGATGAGGGAAGTGAGCGCGGAAGGGGTGGGTATGGCAGGGGAGGACGAAGATGGAGATGTCGCTGTCATGATGGGAATATCTCGGAAGTCTCTTGTGGTGTCTGTGTGTCTTACTTGGGGTGAAGTATATGATGAAATGGTCCGTGGCAGGAGAAGAATGTCCGAGCGGAGGAAAGGAAGAAAAAAAAAAAAGTCGAGGTGGGGAGGAAAATGGAATTCCGCGGTCTGCGGAAGGAGAAGAACACATGGCATCATCCGCTCGTTGCGCTCCTTAAATTCCTCCTTTCCCCGTCGTCTCAGTCCACTTTACGCTTCACTCTTTCCAGTCGTCCGTTGTACACTCCTGCCTGGCATATTTGCGCTCTCTTGTCGTTCCCTTTCTTTTATACTTCCTCGTTCCTAATGGCGCGCCAGAAACAAGCCACTCCTTTACAACGCGCGACTTCCTCGGAGATCATGCACGCGCATCCTGAAGATACCGATGCGCAAGTCAAACAAATTGGCAGCGCAAAACCGTCTTCTGGGGCCAATGGAACTGCAACGGTGAAAGATCTTGCTGCGGAAGTTCCTCCCGGTCTAGCGCAACTCGCGATCTGCGTCCTCGGAATCTATGCTTCATTGTAGGTGGCCTCGGTTTAGATTCAACCAATACTCTCAGAAGCATTCTAACTGATTGACTCAAACAGCCTTTCCTGGGGAGTTCTGCAAGAAGCGATTACCACGGTTTCTTATGCAGTTCGTCCCTCCACCGCTGATGAACCAGAGCCTCCCGCGGAGCGCTTCACTTTCTCGATCGTTTTGAACACCATCCAGTCGACCTTCGCGGCCATCACCGGCTTCCTCTACCTGTACTTCTCGACGCCGAAGGGCCAGAAAGTGCCCACGATCTTTCCCACGCGCAAAATCCTGTTTCCTCTGCTTCTCGTCAGCATCTCCTCCTCCCTCGCCTCGCCTTTCGGATACGCCAGTCTGGCGCATATCGATTACCTGACCTTCATTCTGGCCAAGTCCTGCAAACTGCTGCCGGTGATGTTCCTGCACTTGACCATCTTCCGCAAGCGCTACCCGCTCTATAAATACGGCGTCGTCTTCCTGGTCACTCTCGGCGTCGCAACCTTCACCCTGCACCACCCAGGAACGAGCAAGAAGATGGCCGCGTCCGCCGAGAAGGGCACCGGATCGTCCACGTGGGGGATCTTCCTCCTGTCGATCAACCTGCTGCTCGACGGCCTCACCAATACCACGCAAGACCACGTCTTCAGCTCCCCGCAGCACTACACCCGCTTCACCGGCCCGCAGATGATGGTGGCCCAGAACGTCCTCTCCACCCTCCTCACCTCCCTCTACCTCCTTATCATGCCGCACCTCTCCTCCACCGGACTCCTGCACAACCTCCTCCCCATGCCCATCCCGCCATCCACGGAAGCCGAGCTCACCAACGCCATCAGTTTCCTGTCCCGTCACCCGGAGGCCCTCAAGAACGTGATTGGTTTCGCGGCTTGCGGTGCCATCGGCCAGTTGTTCATCTTCTACACCCTGTCGCGCTTCTCGTCGCTGCTTCTGGTGACGGTGACCGTCACGCGGAAAATGCTCACTATGCTCCTGAGTGTGTTCTGGTTCGGGCACTCGCTGTCCGCCGGGCAGTGGCTGGGCGTGTTCCTTGTCTTCGGGGGCGTGGGCGCCGAAGCCGTGGTGCAGAGACAGGAGAAGAAGGCGAAGGAGTTGGCGAAAGCAGGGAAGAAGGCGTAGATAGATAGCTTTGGGTTTATGCTTCTCTTTCATATTGTATGTACATAGTTCGATAGATTATTTGATTGGATTTTTTTGATGTTATTTATTTCTGATTTTTGTTTTGTTTTATTTTCCTTGGGAGGTCTTGATATCAAAAATCAACGTCCATGATCTGTCCGCACCGATGAAAGCAGATAAAATAGAATCATCTATTTCCTCCCTTCAACCATGATAATATGATACCCGAATCCCGTCTTCACATCCGCATACTTAGGATTCCCCGTCGTGCTCGGCTCCAACTCATACGCCGCCTTCTCGAAGCTCGCATCAAGACTGCCACGCACTTTCCAGCCCAAGGAGCCGCCTGTCGAGAGGAAGAGAGGGTATATTAGCGGACCTTGTTCTTGCCATTATGACAGATCGATAGGGGTGTTTTTTGTATGTATACCTTGTCGGGCTTTATCCTCGGAGAACTCGCGCGCCACGTCGTCGAATTTCGCGCCGCCGCGCAACTTCTCCAGCGCTTCTTCTTTTTTGGAGAATTTTTCACACTGTAGGCGTGTTGGGTTAGCTTTCGTTCTAGGGGTCAATGTAGATGTGTATGATATGCTTGTAGGTGGGTGGGTGAGTTTCAAGTTATTCATGTACATATATATCACATTGAGAAAAACATATAAATCTCCAATTCCTAATATATGTATGTTCATAACACAATCGTCCAGTCGATATCCCAAACTCAACACTTACCACCATGATATACATACAGATACATGAACACACACATAGAACCCACCCAGTATATATAAAAAAAGTCAAGAATCACATACCAAGATATGTCGCACGTTGATTGAAGTGGCAGGCTTCAAGCCCTTCTTGTTATCGCCCCCGTCGGCCGCATCCTTGCCCTTGCCTTTCTTATCGCCGCCTTTGTTGTTCTTGGGGGCCATGATGCTTTCGAGATCTGAAACGAGACGGAAAAGTGCGCGCGAGACAGACAGACAGACAGACAGACAAAAAGAGAGAGGGTGTGAATTACCCCTCCGGGAACAGCGACGGGTAACGTGATATGAAGTCATGTGGGGCTGGGCGGGATGAAGAGCCTGAGGCAGCATTGGTTTCCTCTGGATGAATGCATGCATGAGGATTCTTTCTCTGTCTGACTGCCTACGACGTAAGTGAGGAGAGCCATTGCATTCCAGTGGTCGTTTCAACTTCTAATCCTACTTCATGCATCTACATCTGCATCTGCATCTACATCGATCGATCTGCATCTGTCAGAGTTCATTATTCGCATTCAGCACGGAGGACTAGTTACTGTACATGCCAATGCCATGCAACGTGATGGATGATCTCTTCCGGGCCAGGATCACCTCCTTACCGGAAGATGCGTTCTACATTGCGGATTTCATAACGGCAGAGGAAGAGGAGATCTTGCTGCAGAAGGTAAGTGGGGGGTTTGTCATTTCTTTCTTTATGCTTCTTTCTTTCTTTTCTATTACTGAGATGATATATTTTGCTCTATTGGATTGGGTTCAATTCCATCCTCATTTCTCGGGATAACCATAGTCTACGGCAGATAACTACGGCGCCTCTTCCCCGATGGACTCTCCTCTCGCATCGTCGTCTGCAGACCTGGCCATCAGCCCTCACCAAGTCCAATACGCTGCTATCGACACCCCTTCCAGCGTGGCTCGTGTCCCCTATCATCACCCCTCGCTTCGACTCGCTAGGGATTTTTGCCGACGCCCCGCACCGCGCCCCCAACCATGTCCTGGTGAACGAGTATCGTCCGGGCCAGGGCATCATGCCGCATGAGGACGGTGCCGCCTACTACCCCCTCGTAGCGACGGTGAGTCTGGGAGCACCCATCGTCCTGGATCTATATTCCAAGGGCGAGCAGCGTGATGATGATGATGGTCAACGACCGCGATATCGGATTCTGCAGGAGAGACGGAGTCTGTTGATTACAAGGAAAAAGATCTACACGGAATTTCTGCACGGGATCGCGGAGACGAGCAAGGATGAATGCCTGGATGCGGACTCGATCTGTAATTGGGATTTGCTGCGGGATCCGGACCGGTACCGATGTGGTTGGGCGGAAAGAGAGACCCGGATCAGCCTGACATATCGAGATGTTCTCAAGGTCGCTAAAGTGGGAAATACGATGAAATTTCTCGGGGGGCGGTGACGTATGTACTCTTTCCTTTTGAGGGAAACAGAAACCAGGCAGCGTCGGTTGAATAATGCAGCTGCACAAGCCCGGGGCAGTTATTTTTAACCTTCCCAATCGACGGCAGCCATTAGTACACCACTGGAATCATGTTCCATTTCCCCCGCACTGACTCCTCGCCAAACTTCTGCGCATACCACTTTCGGCTGGTTCCGGCAGTGACACCAAGGTTGATTGCGACAAACACCAGCGCTGACAGAATAGTCTTGTTGACCCATTCTCCCGGCGGGGCGGCTAGCAGCGCCAACGACAAATAGATAGCACATTCCGCAGTGTAATGCGGACACACAATCCTGTTGAACAACGGATGAGCGGGGACGGTGTACTTCTTGAGTGAGAAGAGGTAGAAGTGGCAGTCATGCTGCAGACCCGACGCGAAAAGGAAGAGTGGCAGGCAGAGAAATGTGCGGAGAGAAGGTACGTTGGTGATTTTGATATGGTCGAGGGTGTACTCGTGAGCCAGCAGGGTGCCTATATTTAGACGAATAGTTAATTCAAGCCATCCCCTCTCGTGATCTCTAACCCCCACTCCCCATACGTACCGGCGCCCTCGATCCAGATTGCAACCGACACTGCCACATAAAAAGCAATGCCAATAAGCCAATGGCCGAACCACATTTGAGATGACGATGGCTTCGAGAGTGCCAGGCACTCCACCAAGCGCCTTATACCCTGAACGAGCACCAATGCCCAGCACAGCAGGATCTGGTTCAAGGTCATCACATCCTGCAGGCGTTCCGGGCGAATCCTGGTCGCAACAGCCTCGAAGGCAGCCCCGCGAGACAGGAGCTGCACAGCCCAGAAAATCGACGACAGCACCGACGCGATGTAAAACTGCGTGAAGTAGCCATGGGGTACCTTCAAGGCAGCGAGGTAGTCGAGGGGGCGTGTGACCGGAGAGCCCCACGAGGACTCAGAGGGCGAGGGATTCGAATTCGACTCGGTTGTCGAGGTTGCACGGGCGCCATAAGGGACGAAGCGCGAGCGGAGCGATTGCGACAGGGTCACCGACAGGATCTGGAAAGAGGGGGAAGAAAATTGGTTTTAGTCCATTCTAGAAGGATTCGTAGATCCTCGTCTTTCTGACCCGGGGGAGGGGTTTTGTTTTTTTTTTCTCGGCATCTCCATGCTAACATGTGTTATCGATTGTCATACCGTACAGGATGCGAAGACGAAGAAGGCTCGGAGAGCGTCGACGGCGTCCATGCGAGTGGCCGCCAAAAGCGAGTCTATTAGATCAGAGATCGGATTGATCATGGTGGATTGGCGTCATGGACGGGAATTGTGGGTTGGTTCAAGGATTGGGGACTTGTTTTGGAATGACAGGACATGGGAAGGCAGGAGGAGAAAAGATCTTGGAAGGGAATGGATGACAACATGATTAATTAATGGCCCAGACCGTCCATCGTCATAACAATCAACCTGTCCTGCCAATCACACGGGGAATTTCAAACCCATTATTGCCTCTAGGCACTCTTAGGTATCATGTCATCCTGTTTTGTTTATCTCTCTTCGCAAGCATCCATACTCCGTACTATTATTATGATTAAATTGTGATAATACTCCGTACCTACCTTCTTACCTACACTTATAGCCCGGTGTCCTTCTGGCCGCGTATCATTACCGGGGGCCTACAGAAGTCCGATGTCTGCTGGCTGATGCGACACGTTCCGAGACTTCTTTGTGGGGAAAAACACAGAAAACCACCGACGAGGAGATGAGCAGTCATAAATCATAAACAAAACAAAAACAAAACCACCCCCCCTCCTTCTCCTCGTCCCAGTAAGAATCGGCGTTTGTTTGATGATTTGATCCACCAGGGTCTCGTGAGAAATAAAAAGCAACGGCACTAGTTGTGGACTAGATGGGTAGTTGACGGCCTAGTGAAGGGGCAAGCTGGTTATGTCAGCCGTAAACAACTCAGCATTACTTGTGTACTCCGTACATTCTGGCCTCGACTTCTCCTGCTCATACCAGTCATGATCCATGACGAAGACACCCAAGACGAAGATAAGGGTCAAAATCAAAATTCAGAAAAGAAAATCCAAAATCCAAAAGCCAGAATCACCACCACCCCACTTCCACCAGTTGCCTCGGACGAGCTCTTTCCCTCTCTTTCCTCGACCGGCCGATCCGTCGACGAGTTCCAATAAATCCATGCAAGTGACGCCAACCAGACGACCCAAACCGTGAAGGGGGGGGGCGAGGAGTGGGGCGATAAGCTGGATCAAGCATCTATTTTAATTGGTGGCGAGAAAGTCGATCGCCGCAGTCAAAGTGGGGCAGGGCGAGAAAGTCGAAGTCCGTTAGTCCGAAAACGGCTACGGGTGGGTGTGACTCCGTGTCGGTCATTGGCCAGACCACGGGTCGAGCTGATGCCTAGCCTGAAGTAGGTAGCCTACGGTGTACGCAGCTTCCAGGGAAACCCACTTGAACCCAGGAGGTCTCTCACCCTTCGTTCCAAAGGGCCCGTTTCAGAGATCCGCCACTCTTCTCTGACCGCCCCCGCCCGCTTTTGGGCCTTCTCGCAGCTCCAATCGGGGAACGAGGTTGCCTCCTTCTTGTTCTTCTCCTCCTCCTCCCCCTCCCCTCTCCTCTCCTCTTCCCATCTGTCCTCCCCTTCCCCGTTGCGGCTGCAGGATGGATACGTACCGTCTCCATCCATCAGTTTTAGATTGAAGGCGCCCGATAGATGCATCGGAATAGGCAGATAGACTGATCGATACCAAGTCTCTCTCTCCATTTTTATTCGTCCCGTTCGGTGACTCATCGCCTTCCTTCCCCTTCCTAAAATAAAAAACAAGTACTCCGTAGCAAAAAAAAAAAAAAAAAATGAATTAATCAATAATAGTAAGAATATTAATCCGGATTCGACTGAAAAGTCGGGCCGTCCGTATTGGCTGGTATCGTACCATGTATGACTAACCCGACTAGCGGAATCCATGCTCCGCTGGTGGCCAAAAAACACGGTGGTAATGGACTGGTAACTTACCACTCGGTGCCTCTGTGGACAGCTGCGACTCTCTCTCTGCTTCAGTGCTTGCTCTGGCTTTTTCGCCTGCGACCGTCAACCCCCCCGTCTAAGACCAAGTTGAACAAACTAACCCAACTAAACCTAACATCGCTGCTTTTCCTCACCAAATAATGGAACTTTCCCTCCACTAATCTCCCTAACCCCAGTGAGCATCGGCCGTTTCAATCTCTCTCGCTTTCTCGTTTTCTCTCTTTACCCTTCTCTCCTCTTCTCTTCCCTCCTTCCTTCACTTCCTCGCTCCTGCTCCATACTCCTTCTCCCTTTTAATTCTCTTTCCCTCGGAAACCTCGATTTTGTCTTCGATTTTCTATTCCTCTTATTATTCTTCCACATTCCTCGTTATCCCTCAATTCTTGAATTACCAACCCTCCTAGGCTGTTTCATCACCTAGAATTCTTTCTCTACTCGCCATTGTCTCTCCGTCTTTGTCCTCCACTTCTGCTACCGTGCTCGACGTACGACCTGTTTCGACCTTCCTGCTTTCAATCAAAGTATACGCTTGAGCTCATCTCTTGAAGCGGTTTGCTACGTTTTCCTGGTCACATCCGGCAATCGAGACAAATAAAACCCGTTCTTTGCAAGCCTATCCTCGGGCGTGGTCGAGCACCGGCTTTCGCGCGCAACTGCTGGTGTCTTAGACCACGAGTCTATTTGTTCGCCACGGCCCCCGAAAATGACGAGCGGAATCCCCAGAAATCGAGTGCTACCGCTATGAGTGATGTTGAGACTGTCTCCTCCTTGCCAGCTACCCTGGATGCCGGACAAAACGCTCTTGCGGTCAAGGTGAATCACCAGTCTCCTCCCCCGGGCCCTCCATCTCCCAAGAGGACATCTCCACCCCGGGTTGTCATTGGGAATGGGAAGGTCGGCCCTGTAGGGGAGGTTGATCCTGTTGCCGGGGAGGGCGATGGGCCACCGAGCCCAAAGGCTGATTCGGAGGCAGAAACCATAATACAATCCGGTCGAGAGTCTTTGTCGCCCGAGAAAAGACGAAAGTACATAAGACATGAACCGAAACGACGTGATGATGGGAATGACCGAGTGGACGCTGTGGAAAATGACCTCCCCCCTAATGGTTCGCAGGCGAGAAAGTTCGTGAATGGTGATTCCCCCAGTGAACGCGACCGTGAATCGCGCCGTATGAGCCCCTCGAGAAGAACCAAGTCCCCTTTGTCGACAGTAAAGCTAGAGAAGCCCGAGGATCCGCATTCCGTTCCGAGGAGATCTGAGCCGCCCCCTCCTGCTTTCACGGCACCCAAAATCTCGAGGAAGCGGAGCTTCAGCGAGACAGTCGACATCGAAGCTGGCCCGGGTCGTCATAGTCAATCGGGCTCAGTCCGTGACAGGGAACGAAAAGATTTGAACGGCGTGGCCTTTGCTCCTCCTGCATCCACCGATCGTTCGATATCTCCCGTCCGATCGTCTCACAAGCGAACGGCTTCTGGCCAGCAGTTGGGCGGAGGTGATTTACAGAGAAAGAAGAAGGCCCCCACGCCACTCATCACCGGCTTTCAGAGACAAAGTTCAGAAGATAGACAATCGGTCTCGTCTTCCACCAGTGGCTCTCCATTGCCCAGCGCCCAGATTCGAAAACTCGGTTCCGTCGATGGGGCTTCCGCGTCCCCTGCGAGGCCAACGGGGTACAAAAAACAGCGTGACCAGAATGGTCGGACACGCCTGGCGCGCGCCTGCGCGGCCCAAGAATTGGATGTGGCCATTGCTAGACACGCAGAACGCCCAGAGGACCTGAATGTTGCCGACAACGCCGGAAATACTCCCCTGCAGATTGCGGCCCTCGAGGGCAGTGCCCCAATAGTGAAATTCCTCTTGAATGCTGGCTGCGAGATTGACACTAAGAATATCGACAAGGACACACCGCTAATCGATGCCGTTGAAAATGGGCACTTTGATGTCGTCAAGCTTTTACTAGAGGCAGGGGCGAACCCTCGAACCGTCAATGCCGAGGGTGACGAGCCCTACGATCTCGTTCCGGCCGACTCGGAGGAATATGAGGACATTCGACGAGTGCTAGAGGAAGCAAAGGCATCCGTCAGGCCTGGAAGACGCTCGGAGGAACGCACGGGATCCGAAGCCAAAGAAGGCTCTTCTCGACGCATCTCTGCCGAAAGTGCGCGCGATTCACCTCCTGCACACAGGCCGCGCAGCCCTCCACTCAGCACCACAACCAAGCGCAAGACAGTCAGAAGCGAAGCCACTCGAAACGATTTACTGTGGACAACCGCTACCCCGGAGAACTTGCAAGCCTTCGCCGCCAAGGGTGATTTTGTCGGGGTTGCCAACATTCTGAACGTGGGGCAAAAGGCTGACATTGAATCAATGATCGCTGCCGCCAAAGGTGGCCATGACGAAGTGGTCTCCCTTCTGCTTGGCATCGGTGATGCGGATCCGGACCCTCCTCCAGTTCAAGACGGCTCTCATAAACCCGGGTACAATACGCCAATGCTCGCTGCAATCGGTCGTGGCAATCTCGAGGTTATCCGAATTTTGCTCAATCAACGACAATTCAACCCGACGAGACGGCTCTATAGGGACCGAACCTATTTCGAGCTCTCCCGAGATCGCAGGGCAGACAACTGGGAGGAGGAATTTGATCTCCTCCGAGATGCGTACGACAACTACAGCAGAGTAAAGAAACATCGCAAGCCCGACGGCCCATCACCGCGACGACCGCGCGATCGTGATATTGAGAATCGACGCCCAGGGCGCCGTGATTCCTTATCCCCTGTCGCTCGACCTCGGAAGCCTGTCGCGAGCCCAAACCATCGGGATTCCACGACCAAAGATATACTGGTGTCTAAGGAGAAACGCCGGGACAACATGGCCCATGCTAAGGAGAAGCCTACCCACCCCAAACTTTCTCATCGATCCAGCGATGGGCTGTCTAATGGAGCCGACCCCGATGGGCCTCGCACCGATCCAACCAGATCCAAGCCATCTCTAGCCACCAAAGATGGAGAACACGCTATCGTAAACCGTGGAGACGAGGCCCCCAAACGAAGACGATTAATTGCTGGACGACCACCACAAGATCGCGACCGCCGAAGGCCCAGTCTGCCATCATCTGACTCTGTTTCGGGGCGTGAGGAGAGTTCCAAACGTGTTACGCATCCCGAAAGCAGCAGTGGCAGCAAGTCCGGATTGAAGCGTGGACATGGCAGTGCAAGCCCAGAAAGGCCGCGTTCCCGCGATACAGAGCATGAGAAGCATCCCCGAGAGATCCACAAGAAGAAACGACGGGTTTTGTCTGAAGATGGGACGCCCAATATTGCGAATGGAGGCCTGAAGAAGAGCCAGCCGGCAGCGACAGGAGACCTCAAGTCATCTCGCCAGAAGGACGATGACGATCATCACTCCGACCCTGGGTTGAACGCCGCACGGGAATCTGACGCACAAGCCACGAAGCCAGTCGAACGGAAGCCCGTTAAAGAAGAGCACGAAAAGCACGAGACCCACGACTTGGATGATATCCCAATGGAGGATCCTGTGAGTTTATCCGAGAAAGCCGAAGCACAGGCGGAAGCGGAAGCCCGACGACAAAAGGAGGCCAGCATCGCGAAGCAAGAACGACTGGCGGAGGAGGCGCGCCTTGCGGAAGCCGAAAAGGCTCGTCTGGAGAAGGAAGAGAAAGAGCGGGCAGCCCGTTTGGCTCAAGAGAAGGCAGAGAAGGCCGCGGAGGAGGAGCGCAAGCGAAAAGAGGCCGAAGAACGCCGAGCCAAGCTGGCCGAAGAGGAACGCCAGAAACGCCTCGAGCAGGAACGGGCTCGGCTTGCCAAACTGCGCAGGGAGCAGGAAGAGCAAGAGCAACGGCGGCGAGACGCTCTACCTAGCAGACTTCGTGCTGCGGCCAATCTGGTTGGGTCCAACGATCCTCAGGCGAGAAGCCACATGTGGTTGAGGAAATTCATGCCCGTGGTGACCGCGGAGACGAAGCAACTCGATCCTTCCTGTTCACCCGATGTCGCGGACGAGAAATGGGTTCCAAACTATCTGGTCGCACCGATATTAGCGACTAATGACCTCCAACTTTCACAGTATGCCGGCTGGGAGAAGCGCAACGCGACGCCGACTCAGCGAGGAAATTTATGGCGTGTCACTCGGCGAATGCTCGTGCAAGCCGACGAGATGGAGTTCTTGAGCTCGTCATTTGGACAGATCATGCGGAGAGACAGCGAAGCACGCCCCAAATACTTCGACATGGAGCATGTATTCTGGGTTCGGGTATGTATATCACCAATCTATCTGCGAGGCGAAAGATGACCGCTAACCTATATCTAAAGCTCTCCGACTTCATGGATCTTGTTCCACACATTCCCCATCTGCATGGGCTCGACATTCAATTCCTGAAGATGCATATTGATCGCGAACCATCGGCGACACCCCCATTTGATCTACCGCAGCCCAACGGACATGTCTCGGTACCCCCGCCCGTGGAAGAAGGGTTTCCCAACGGAATTCAAGGCCTTACAAACGGCTATGGTCATGCCCGACCAAGTACATACGTCTAATGTTTGATACTGATACTGCATCGTTTGTTTCCCCGGCGATTTTTGAGTACAACCTGTACAGGCGGAATTTCCTTGATGTATGACTATGATACCTCAGTTGATGTGATGTGTGACGTTTCGCATGTTCGGGTGATTTGGATAGAGCAAGACTTTGACAGTCTTTCAAGTCCAGGTTTTCATTCTGTAGATGTGTTGCTGTAGACATACGGAGTACCTGTAGTTGCTGGCCAGTTTCTACCTCGATGATCTTGTCGGCTGAGAATTGATTACGGGCCGAGATCATCGTTAGGCTTGTTTGCATCAAGAATAGTCACGTGACATTTCCACGTGAGAGCTCGGGTTACATAAGCCGTAGGGCACACCACCGACGATTTAGGCGAGAAAACTCGCGGACGATTCCACACTCTTGAATTCAGCACTCCATCAACTCAACTCTTTGAGGAAAATCCGACAGGATATACCAATAGAATCAACAAAATGGTACGTTCTATGCCGTCCGCTCCATGAATCCGCGACGTCAATTCCCATGAGAAACGAGTCGATCGCGAGATCAATAACGCAGCCAAAGTTCTCCCGCAAAAAAAAAAAAAAGTGAACATGTCCCCGCTAACATTTTCACCTCTTCATACAGTCGGACGGAGAAGAGACCATTTCCAACCCCCCCGTTGCCGCCGATGAGGTCGAGGTTTCGGCCGACGCTGGCGCCGGTGGCCAGATGTCCGTTCTGGACGCTCTGAAGGGCGTTCTGCGCATCTCCCTCATCCACGACGGTCTTGCCCGCGGTCTCCGCGAGGCCGCTAAGACCCTGGACCGTCGCCAGGCTCACATGTGTGTGCTCAACGAGGGCTGTGAGGAGGAGGCCTACAAGAAGCTCGTTGTGGCCCTTTGCTCCGAGCACAAGATCCCCCTGATCAAGGTCCCCGACGGAAAGATGCTCGGCGAGTGGGTTGGTCTTTGTATGTCTCCCCTCTATTCATTTTTACCCCCGATGTTTATATATGATGGAAACTAACCGGATTGATTTACAGGCCAGCTTGACCGTGAGGGCAACGCCCGCAAGGTCGTCAACTGCTCTTGCGTCGTCGTCAAGGACTGGGGTGAGGAGTCCCAGGAGCGTTCCGTCCTCCTGAACTACTTCCAGACCGAGCAGTAAATATTTCCTCCCGAGGAAATGTTTTACCAATCAGTGTGCGAGTGTAGCTTGATCAGGACAGAATGAGAAGGCGGAGAAAGAAAGGAACATATCGAATTGATTGTGGGCTATGTTTTGGGTAATGGGATGTGAGGACTATGTTCGGATCAGAAAACTACCTGGATCCATGATCTTTTCTTCTTTTTTTCTCACTTTTTTTTCTGTGTAATCGGATCTATCAAACCACTATCTTTTTCTCTCGAGTTTCTTGTCTAGTTTGCTCTAAACGAGGACTTGAGGGGATAAAACATCTAAATAACTAAAAAATTCATGAAGTCGAGGAACCAAAATATTTTCACATTTTACTCGTAAAGTAGTAGTATGAACGTGATTGAATAAACAAATGGTATCATGTTTCCAAGTCTTGAGATACAATTTCAATTCATTCCATTGAACTCCGTATAAACTGACCAGAGAGGATAGATACCTAGGTACCCAATGCCAACTTGTACCAAACAATCCAAAAGAGTATGTAACGGGCATGTCTTACCAGAAGTGCTAAATTTGAACATGAAAAGAAATCAAAAAGGATCCCACCGGCTATGCGAATCGCAAGTCAACATAAGCAATCAATCCAGGTAGTCAATATCCCACTCGATCCATTTCCAAACGCCGAAGAACCAAGGATGCTTAGGAGCCAGTTAGCGGAAGCTGTACGACGGCCGGACCATCTTTTTGGTCTCGGGCCGCAGGGAGAGTTGTTGGTACGGGGAGCTGCCCGGGTCGTAGTAGAGACCTTCGATGTGGCCGCTCTCCCGATGGAGAGAGATGTAGTAGAATCCGGAGATGGTGAGGCCTTGTCGGGAGTCGGTGGGCGTGATGAAACAGCGTTCTATGCAATGGTTAGAGAAGACTCGGAAAACAAAATGACAAGGGAGAGAAAATGAAGCATACCTTTCCATCGCATCAAGATCCACCCCTTGGACAATTCCTCGGTAATCCATTTCCGACTGACCAGGTTCCTCGTCATCTCTTCGTCCGTGAGCGTTTTGAACGGCTGTAGCTCCCGCCAGTAGGTACTGTCGATCTCGGCGTCGGCTTTGAAGTTCTTCGTTTCTAACGTGTGCGTGTTGAAGTCAATGATTTCGCCCTCGAGGAAGGTGACAATGTGTGCGTCGTGGGACGGGGAGGTCTTGTCGGGGATATTGTACGCTTCCATAGTACCCGATAGAGTCATCTCTTGCGTATTGATGTTGTGGATAGTGACTTTCACCGGCCAGTTTTCGTCCTTGCCCGTTCCTAGGTTGTAAATATTGTTGGCCAGGTACCGTCGACCATTCGTGGTGTATACGCTGATGCGATTGCTGTTGGGGTTATTATTCTCGCCACCTCCGTTGACGATCATAGGGTCATGGGATGATGACGAAGGGCTCGGTACTCGTTGACCAAAGATGGAACTGGCACTGCTGGCAGCCCGCTGGGATCCCGAGAAGACCATGCCAGGTCGCAGCCAGGAACACATCGGGGGCGGCGCTATCGAAGCCGTGTCCAGGATAAAATCATCGTGGTCCCAGGGGAGAAAGTCGAGTTGGGCAAAGCCTCCCGCAGCGGCCGAGGTGAGGCTTTCTTCAAACGAGTTGGAGTATCGCAGTCGGTCCAGGTACTTAATCGTCTCCTTGAGACGGGGGCTTGGGGGATTCTCCATGTTGAGTTGTCGATGGGCGCTGATGCGAGCGCGCAGGTCACTGTGAGTCAGGAGTCGATGCGGTTCACCCCGACTGCTGGGCAGGAAGCGATATGCGCGGGATGCGGATGACCGGTCTCTGCTCTCCTCTGCGTCCTGAGTGCCTGCTCGTTCGCGATCTAGCAGATAGTTGTGTAGAGTGCGAGTGCGTGAAAAGCGAGGTTGTCGTCGTACGGACTGCAACAGAGTCTCCGTCGTCGGGTCATTCCAGCGGTGGGTGCCGTTGTTATCCGTAGGGTCGTCGGGCAGGGCGTGTGGATTTCGACCGACGTATTCGCGGCGCGCATGGCGTCTAGAAGCGGCGCTGCGGTCGGAGAGGCGGCCAAACCAGGAGGATATGGAGTTGGGGTCTTGGAGCGGTTCGTAGGTCAAATCATCGTCGTTGGGGTCGTCGTTAGCGTCGTCGTCGTCATCAGAGGCCGGCGCCCAACCGTACAGCGAGCGAGGGTTGGAAACCCGACTTTCGTAGTTGGGCATGTTATGATTGTTGCCGTGATGATTGGGATTCGGGTTGCTGCTGGAGGTGGCGTTGGGGGGAGACTCGCGTTGATTGCGCACGATGGGGATGCGACGGTTGATTTCGATGGAGGATCGCCTGCGGGCGGGGTTGTCCAGATCCATGGGCACGACATCCAACACGGTCTGAATCTGTTGCCGGCGTCGATGCTGACGACTGATAGACGAGATGGACGAGGAGGAATCAGGTGGAGAGCGCACACGAGAACGCAGGAAGCTCACGTTATCGTCATGGGCGTCATCGGAGGCGGGCAGCGAGGGAAGTGGGCCGGACAGTTCGTTCAGCTGCAGCGACGAGGTGGGAGGAGGCGAGTGATTCTGTATTCAAGGATCCAAGATTCGGTTAACGTCAATCATCGTCATTTTCCTGAGGGGGAAACCAACAAGGGGGGGCTTGTAACTGACCGACGGAGTGTTGACCGGAGGCATTATCGTCCTCGGTGGCGGAGGACGCCGATGGGATTGCAATCAGCGGGAGGGAATTAAACCAGAATAGAGAGAAGGAGAAGAAACAGATAAGACCGGATGAGACAGCGAGAGAGTGAATGGAAGTCGACGTGAGAAAAAAAAATAATCCAGATGGTTTGGTTGGCGGAAGAAAAGGCAAAGTGGGCGAGATTACATGATCTGATTTCTTTTGGCATCTCGCGGGATTCCCCTTCTCTTCTTCTTCTCCTTCTTTCCGTCTCCCTTTCCACTTTCCTTCCCCATTGCGGAGTCTTCCTGATGGATCCCCCCACATTCCGACCTCGCCATGTCTGATATGATCCGTCTATCTTCCACCAGGCCTCCAGTGCATCTTGACTTAGACCATCTCGATGAATATTGAATATAGACTACTTGATGTTGATAAGTTTTATGCAGGAGAAGGAGTATACAACATCGCGCTAGTCATCGCCTGTCGGGACCCCACAGCTCTGTCACCGACCTTCTCGATGCAATTCGACGATGCATCGCGATGAAGTACTCGGGAACTCGGTCTGGCCGACGGAATAAGTCCGATAAACTGGAGATCCTGCAACTGGACTTCCCCTCTATTCCTATCCTTCAAAATCAACCTTTCCAGCCCAAGTGCTTTGCAGCCAACTCCATCAATTAATTAAGCTCAGCATCGCTCTCGAAATGGTTAAGTTCAAATCCATCGAATACTTCCGCGTACTCCCTCGATGGCTCTTCGTTAAGATCATCGATGAAGATGGTCAGTACGGCTGGGGAGAAAGCTTCCTCGAAGGCCATACAGAGGCCGTCGAAGGCACCCTTAATGCTCTGTGCAAGTGATTCCAAGGATACGAGGCCGAGTCAGGTCCCGCTTTATCCTATGCCTACATGGCCGTCGAATCACCCAATTGACCACCTGCTCATAGTGACATCGAGCACATCTGGCAGATGGCCTGGCGCTCAGGCTTCTATCGCAGCGGCCCCGTCTTCATGTCCGCCATCTCCGGCATCGATATCGCCCTATGGGATCTCAAGGGCCGGCAGCTCGGCGTGCCCATCCACCAACTCCTCAGCGGTAAAATGCGGCATAAGCTGTCCGTCTACGCCTGGATTGGCGGCGACAGATCCTCCGACATCGAAGCGGCCGGCAAGGAGCGTATCGCGCAAGGCTTTCGGCCATCAAGATGAACGCCACTGAGGACGTCAATTGGCTAGATTCGCCGCGCGTGCTAGAATCGAGCGTCGAGCGTCTCAAGCCATCAAGACGCTCGGTTTAGACGCCGCCTTGGATTTCCACGACCGTCTCCACAAACCCATGGCGAAGCAGCTGGCCAAGGCCCTGGAACCGCATCGTCCACTCTTCCTGGAAGAACCGCTCCTTTCGGAACATCCGGAGGGCATCAAACAGCTGTCGGGCTTCGTTCGTGCCCGATCGCCCTAGGCGAACGACTCTTCAGCCGCTAGGACGCGAGCGTCGGTGCAGCCCGATATAAGTCACTGCGGCGGTGTTTCGGAACTGCGTCGCATTGTTCCCTGGGCCCCATCGCCCTGGCCGCTTGCATGCAGGCGGGTTTGACCACGCCAAACTTCGCCATCCAGGAGATGAGTCTGGGGATTCACTATAACAAGGAAACGGGTGAATACGACATCACGAGCTACGTGGAGGATCCTGGCGTCTTCGACGTCAAAGACGGGTACGTGGATGCGCTGACGAGGCCCGTATTAGGCATTGAGGTCGATGAGGACGTTCGTTCGTCGGTTGTCTCAGTCGACACAGCCCTGGCAGCCTAAGAAATTCTTCGGTCCAGATGGCGGTATTCGGAATGGTAGTTGTGTGTGCGTGTGTGTGTGCGCGCGCGGTCTTCCTTGGGCTCGCTACTTTGCAATCGGCTCATGTATATCAATCAAAATTCTATTAACTTGATGGGGCCTATCCATTAAGAGGGTCGACAGGGGGGGGTTCATGTATAGCATGGCTTGACCTTTCATGCTGGCAATAGGTGTATATAAAGACGGTTGACGGAGTACGTCGATCTGAACATAACCAATGTCTATTGGCTTCCAGGAATTACTCCAATGTCATCAAAAAATTGAATACATACCAGAAAAATCTATTCTATTTACTGGGTCTAGATTTACGACAAGCGCGCAACGCACCGCCCTCTATCATACCTTCTTCCGCGCCACATTACACTCGTCCGCTCGGCGAAGGCAATCCAGAATGATATTCCAAAACGCATCCAAATCCACACCGCGCGGGATGGCCACGCCCTGCATGATAGGCGACACGACCGAACGACCCAACGATCCCACCACCGCGACGTCGATTCCGTGGAGCCCGTCGGTGATAACATTGACGGCGAAGCGCTCACCGTTGCGGTCATCGAACTTCAGGGCCTGGTCGGGATGTTGCTTCGCGAAGATCGGGTTGAGCGTCGACAAGATCACCGCCACGGCGAGCGGGTCATGCAGGGGAGGACCGTCGTTCAAGCCAAACACGTTCTCGTACGTCGACGCGAAGAAGACCAGGAGGTCGAAGAGCATTTGGCGGAGGACAGTGGAGGGCGCGGACGCGTCGTCACTGCCGTGCAGGACGCGGGATTGCACGGCCGGCGAGGCTAGGACCTGATGTGTTAAGTCAAGAGTGATCAGGGTCGTCTTCGATGCTAGCACGGGGTTGGAGAAGATGGACTGCGATCCCTCGGGATCACACTATTGGAACAGCGACATCAGCCTGTCAGCAACCATCGCGCAGCAAGTGTAGGTAAGGGGTTGATTAGACAGCAATTACGCACGTAGATATTGAACTCCGCCAGAGGAGTGACGTTGCCAATCCGCGCTTCTTGACCCTTCACCCGGCTCATGGGGGCGTCGGTGAACCCCTCGCCTACGCCACCCCCCATGATACTCAGCCCCTGGATGTGCTCTGCCACTTCGGGGAAGGTTGCAAACAGCAATGCGACGTTGGTCAGGGCGCCAGTTGCGATAACCCAGGGTGTACCTTTCGGGTGCGCCAACAGAGCATCGCGCATCGCCAGGATGGGATTCTTGTCTGTTACGGGGGTTGTGCTGGGCTTGGGTAGAAGTTCCGTGCCGTCAATACCGGAATCGCCTACAAGATAGGGGGGCAAGTAAGACAGTCAGTCATGGTTTGTTCCTAGTGACAGGTACGGAGAACGAAGGGGAGTGGGATTTCTACCATGGATATTGGGCGCATGGATTGCCGGTCTACAGAAAGGTTTAGCATGTCCTGGGTAGACGGGCACCTCTGGTCGACCGATAGCCTCCAGGATCCTCGTGGCATTGACCGTGGTGTTTTCCAAGGAGGCATTTCCGTGGACCGTGGTGATTCCGAGAAGGTTCAGGGACGGATGATGGGCGGCAACGAGGATCGCAAACGCATCCTAGATAGTGTAAGATAGTTTCTTTTCCATTCCGGAGATGACTATTCTTACGTCGTGCCCTAGTAGGTAAACTGTCAGCCTTGGGGGATATGGGTATGGTCTGGAGTCTAGATCGGGATAACGAACCAGGGTCGCAATCCAGCCATAAGGGGATTGGGGTGGGATTCGAGGAGGTCATTGTGGGACGCAAGAGAATCGAGCAGGATAGAAAGAGAGAAGAAAGAAAGATGAAGGATGAAGGATTCAGAGGACAAGAGGACAGCACAGAGAAGACAATGCGGGGAGACCCAGCGATAAGCAGCGATAACGGCCGTTCCTTATCGACCCCGGGCCCTAAGCCCTAGATTCCATCCCCATGCGGACGTGCTGCGTCATCCGTCGGCGGCGCTGGGGAAACCTGCACCGCCAACCTAATCTTATGCTTCGTTTCCTTCGCGTCCCCCAGTATCGACCAACCCGGAGAGCCGGCTCCGTTTGCTTTTGTTTCTTTGTTTGTTTTCACCTCCTGCTCTCTGTTCCTATTTATAAGATCCTTCCCCGACGACTGAGATGAGATGACCAGCGACCCTCCGCCTCGCCCCGGCCTGCAACCGCTCTCACATCTTAAAGCTGGTCCGACCACCTCCAGCTCCAACTCCACGGCTCTTCCGGCGTCGTCCACTCTCCAGCTACCCTCCTCGCCAATTACTCCACGGCCTCGATTGCCCAAGGCCCCCAGCCGGGATGAACAAGCCAGTGCGACGAGCTATAAGGCAACGGTCGCCCTGATCCGACGCGTCTTGTGTCCCCAGACCGGAAACCACGGGGGAGCGTCCACCCCACAGCCTCCCGGGGAACTTCTACCCCCTCTCACAAGCTCAAACGAAATAGACCTTCAGCTCTACGCCATCATCGCCGTCATCGTCAAAGAGTTTGTTCTCGCGTGGTATTCGAAAATCACCCCGGACCAGACCCTGGTCAACGAAGTGACCCAAGTGATCGCGCATTGCACCCGCGCGTTGGAGCAGCGACTTCGAGGAACCGACGTTGCACAGCTGTTTCTGGATGAGGTTCCTGCTCTAGTCGAAGCGCATATTACCTGTGAGACAGTTACTTTTCTTTCCTGCCCCCTTCCTACGTGTCCCATCTCCGGCCCAGTCAGCGGGATGTTTATTGGTCTAGAACTGACGTCTTTTGACCCTCTTTCGTCAATGCCCAGCGTACAGAATTGCGCGAGAACAGTCTCGACTGCCCGGATTTTCTTCTTCGACGCGCGAAATTTATCATGCCTTGTACCCGCATCCGGCCTTCTCGCCGGTTCCAGATGCCTCGGACGCGGGCCTCGCGGAGCGCCAACGCACCAACGAGGCGGTATACCGACAATTGCTGGCGCAGGAAGTGCTGGCCGTTCTCCTGCCCACAGAGGATCTAGAAAATGTGTGTCTGCGAACGCTGGTGGGCGACATCGTGGCGGACCTGATTCTGGGGAACCAAATCAGCGGGAGGGTGTGCGAAGGCTGGTTTCTGTGGGAGAGTATCACAAAGCTTCTGGATGCCGTGAGACGCCAACCCGCGCGTGAGGATGACACCACCACGACGGGACCGCTTAAACATGACCAGTTACAGAAGTTTGGGCTCCTGGCGCCCAAGGAAGATTTCCAGAACCGCCATTCCTCCAAGGTCCCGCTGCCCGTGCCCGAGTGGGCGTGGAACGTCCTTCACTTCGGATATCTGGTCTACGTGACTCTACGTTTCATCGTGACGGGTCTCTTTCGCGTTGCAACCAGCTCGCCAGGGCCTTCGGGGTCGACGGCCAGCGTCGGAGGCCAGGCAGCGGAGGCGCTCCCTCCATGCAACCCTCCTGGCAAGCGCCCCGTGCTGGACTATCGACTGTACGGGATGGTCTCTCAGCTAATCGATCTCCCCAACCGGATGCCGTGGCTGGAAGGGTTACTGGCCCTGTCCCAATACCTGATCCTGGCGGGTCCAGGCAGGCTTGGTGACACCGATAGCGTCCTTGATAGGTGAGTGATTATTTTTCTCTCATTCCATTTGATTTTACCTTCTGTATTTTCTAGCCCTCCCTCTCTGTCCCTATTCTCCCCGGTCCTTCCCTCCTTGTTTCACTCCCCAGCACCAATCCCCAGGCAGATCTCAGCATCCGCGTTGTCTCCGTGACACCGGACGAAGGAAGAATCAGCGGTGGAGAAGGGGTACGGGTTCGATCTCCGAACTATGATCTACTTGCACGACGAGGGGACGGACGGACGGCACGACGGCTGCAGCATTGCTCGCATGCCGCCCCGGTCACTTGATCTGCTGGGGCCGCGCTTTCCCCCCTGATTGGTCACGGGCCTGGGTGTACCGTTCCGTACCGTCCGTGACCGGCGCGTACGGTTATATTACGGTTTGGGTATTGTCCTGACCGTACCTGCCTTTTTTTTCTCCGTTCCTCGAAGATGAAGAATGGATTGGTCGTTCTCTCTTCTCGGACATACCGACTCTCATTGAACGTGCCCATGTCGATGTGAATCGATCCACTTCAGGTTCTGGCCCGGCCCTTTCCGTCCCGTTCGACTCCAGCTTGCCTGATCATCCAAATAAAGAAAAAAAGGTTGAGACTTGAGACTTGAAAGACAAAACATGACAAAAAAAAAGAAAATGGAAAAAGCAAAGGAAAAGAGAAAAAGAAAAGAAAAAGATAAAAACTTGGCATTCTGTCACCGACTGTACAGCGTACACTTGCACTGCCCATTACCGCATGGATGAGGAGGGGAAGCGCCATCCTCTTCCCTGTCTAGGCTCTTCTCAAGGGGGTGTTGTGGTTCACAAACAAAGGCTAAAGATGAGAGGTGAAATGACTCGGGACGATCATCCAGGCATTGGTTGAGTAAACGGCCATGCGGCATTGAGCCCGCCCCGTCTTCTGCTTTCCCCTTTTTTGGGGCCAATCGACAAGCCGGCCGAGGTCGCGGCCTTCAGCGACGCTAAACCAAGGCCCCTTCTGCCTATGAGATTCCCCCCGGCCGTCGTGCCAGGAGGCCCTTTTGGACTTGTCGTCATCTTCAGCTTTGGGCCCTGCTCAATCGCACCAATCGATGGCCCAAGCTCCTGGTCTGCCCTTGAAAGCCAAGCAACGATCGCTTTTTCCTGCTTGCTCCACTGTTTTTTTGGTCGTTCCATTCTCACGTCGGTCGTTGCACGGCCCTTTTCTCTTTTTTCATTTCAAATTCTTTTGAAAATCTCAACTCAACCGCTTCTCCACAGTCCGGGGGTTTTTTTTTACCGCTTACTCTCCCTGGGCCATCTCCGTGTCTGCGTTGCGCAATTTCACTGCCAATTTCCCTCTTTCATTCCATTTATTTTTATTTTTATTTTTATTATTCTCATAGGCTAACTTGCTCTCCACCTAGGTTCCTTCACGAGACCATTCAGAATCATCTCTTTCCCCCCACTTTATTGCCCAACCTGCTTCTCGCCTCCAGGGCGACACTTTTTCCTTTGAACGCTCGTCCGGCTCAGGCCGCCGCGGGTACGAATGCCACCGGGCCTCCGACGCCGCACCTGTCTGTGCAACCTCCCTCGTCGCCTATCGAGAGGGGTTCTGTTGCTGGGAGTGGTAGCGATGCCGCTGGCGCAAGTAACGCCAGCAGTGACATTTCAACGCCTAACCTCTCAGCGACTGCGCCTTCCTTGTCGCCGGACCCACGCCCATCCGCGGCCGAAATCGCTTCCGTCAAGCGACGCTGCGCGGTGAGTCTTTTATCGCGGATTCCTCGTCCAATTGCGCGGCACTTCTTTGGTATTCCCGCCAATGGCGCCGCACACGGCCCCCTCGACGGCCAAGCTTCCAATGATCATGATCAGTCTCCCCGGCACCCGGGCTCTTCCCGAGCGTCGTCGCCTGTGCCTCCTCCCCCTTCTCATCTCACGACCACCACGACCACGACCGTTCACCCGGACGAGGATGCGCATCTTCTCGCCGCCATCGAGCACGATCTCCTCGATCTTTTCGCGGACGAGTATTGTAACAAACATTTAATTTATTCGATCATCGAAGCTATCCTGGCGAAGCTTCTCCCCGAGCTATCTGAGCGCGGTCTTACCGAATTAATGGAGGACAGGGGCGTCGCTCTAGCCACCGCCCCATGAGCCATCACCTTACGCTTACAGTACCCATTATCATCCATCCCGACAGCCTGTTCAGCGAGACATCCGCCCCCTTTAGACCGTTAGTTATGACATAGCATAGTCCTGTTCGCCTTAATCAATAATTAGAATAATGTTAATGATCCTGAAAAAGAAAAACGAAGGAACAAAATCTATTTCGCTTATAGCGCTTGAGGATCTTCTTTTGGAGGCAGGTAGTACCGTAGGTAGTAGCCGGACATGGCCGTTGAGATCTTCCTTCCTGATCCTTCGAGGCTCTTAGTTCATTAGTAGTGTATGTGAGAATCCAATTCCACGTATTACTGTGTATATAGTAATCTTCCCCGTAAGAGTAATTATAGTAGAGCACGGAGTAAAGAAGGTATAGTACAGTAGAGCATCTGGATCCGGCCGAACTGAGTGCTCCGGTTACCGAGACCCTACCTCCCGAATTAGGATCTACCTACCTACCTAACTATCTACTCCGTACCCGTACCCCTATAGAGCATGGATTAGATAGAGAGATCTTAAGGTAGTTAGTTAGTTAGTTAGTGGTATAGGGTGTACGTATACACACCCAGTCCGGAATAGTAGGCCATAAACTTGCGGAGGGTAACTAGTTAACTATATAACCAACTACTATACTGTACACAGTAAGTAGTACAGTATGTACATACATCTAGATAAGGTCGCCTATCCTGAGTAGGGCAAGACAAGCGATAGATAATATTAGCAATTATACGCATTATAATTAATATTAGTATAATAGTAATGATGACGATAGTAATAATCGCGAGAACAAAAACAAAAACAAAAACAAAAAATAAGTAAATACGGAATACTACTGATCACTCTCACCCAGTGGAGAAGTGTAATCAAGACCTACAGTACATCATACCTTGATAACTAAGAAAACAAAAGGGAAAATAAAAAAAAAGAAACCAAATGGATCTATCTATCCATCTTTCTATCGATCCATGCAGGGCCCAAAATCGACTAACGAAAAAGAAAAAGAGGAGAAAGAACCAATCGGAAACATACTTTGTAGAACAATTAATTCTGGGTATACAATATACGGTATGGCCAACTCCACCGGCATTGCCATACTAACATCCCTCAAATCTGTGTACTTCGTACAAAATCGGATAGACATGCAGGAAACCAAACGACCCTACTGACCCTAGTCATACTAGTAGAGTGGATTGGGGATCTCAGAAAGGAGAAAGTGAAACCCAGGTCAAGTGGTAGTAATCTATAAGAAGGGAAGGTATGGCACCGGCGGGGTCGTTCAGAGTCGGTACCACGGTTCATGGTTCGCGGATGGCGGGTAGCGGGTAGGCGTAAGTGTAAGCGTATGCGTACGGCGGCATGGCGGCATGGCGGATGGCGTATAGCGCAAGGCGGGTGCGAGGAATTTGGCGAGGACGAGAAAGAGAGGGGCGGGGTTTGGAAAATTGGGGAAAAACTCAACTTAAACAGGAAAGACATGGAACCATGGGAAAAAGCAGAAGGATGAGGAGGATGCCTGTTCGGAGGATACCGACTAGGGAATACAAGGCAGCTAACTGACTTAGCTAGGATCTACTTCCCTGGTAGAGTCGTCCGTAAGGAAGAATTTCGATCAAGAATGGGAATGAGAACTGCTTATCGTCGGATGGATCCATAATGGTATCACGTCAAGGTTGCTGTTAGTCTGTCTTCCTGGTCTGTTAGTTTGGAAGTCTAGATCATGATAGGACAGGACGTGCGTATGGATCAACGAGGAACATGTTCCATACACGCAGACATGGATGCCGGTTACTGTTGGGACTTGGGGAACAGGGGGTACTAGATTAAAATGCACAGTGACTATAATAATAAAATCATCAGGGTAAATGACTCAAACATGCGGTGAAGGGTTCAAACAATCGGGGTTCCGTAAGCGAAGAATGTCAGGTAGCTATACAATTGCAATACAAGAAACCAAACACATAGGATATAATAAAATCAACAAAAAGGAAATAAATACTAGAACTGGAACAGATAAATATAATAAACAGAACTGAACACAAAAAATCAGTAGTTAATCAGAAATCCAAGCTCCGTATTGAAATTCGTTGTTCTCCAATGCCATCCGAAAGCCCTAAATGAAATCCCAAGATGTGACTGTCGTAGTCCAATGCAGTTTGTGTCCGCGTGGGCGGGTTAGTTTAAATGCTAGTTTGGGGTGACAACAAAAGAAAAATAAATGAAAACGAGAAAATAAAAAGTGGACAAGAAGCAGAGAAGAAAATAACAGCAAAGAAAAACAAAACAATTGTGCGAATCAAACAAAACTAGTTGAAATCTGACTCCTTCAATCTTCCTGATTATTGTAATTCCGTCGGATCCGTGTCCGTCAGGCCCTGCGCCAGTGTCTGCCGTATGTGAAATGTGGAAGAAATGAAAAGAAAACCCGTTTAAAACCCCGAGGTTGCCCTCCTATGTGTGTGTATCGTCTGATTTTTCTCACAAGTTTCGTCGATCCGTTGACCCAGCTTAGCTTAATGAAACAGGGAATCATAGAAACATGACGTACAAAATGCAATAATACTAGTAAAACAGAAAGCCACCCAGTAGAAAAGAAGAATAGAAAAACAGGGGAATATGTTTTGAGCAGAAATCGGGAGAAAGCCAAAGGTAACATGCAGGGGGACGAAAAGGGAAAAGGGAAAAGTCAAAAGAAAACCGAACTGATAATCTGTGGAGGCATGTCTTCGGTGTCCGAAACTCGGACTAACCTAGGCTGTGGATGCTTCTTTTTCTGGTGACATGGGGAGCATCCTCGTGCTCGTCAATGCGGGTGAGGCCTCCCGGAAGAGTAGTCTGCTGGCCTTTGGCCAGTTCGAGCCGCTCCATCAACTTCCCAATGGTCAAGTATTCCTGTGCCCCAAGACCAGCAGGTTGGGCTTCGAAATAATTCATCACCAACTCCAGTGCCTTCCGGGCCTCATCCTGAGTAGGGGAGCCCGGAGAACTAACAGGAGAAACGGTGGTTGACTTGGAAAACAGCGGTGGGTAAATGGTCTTGGCCCGAATCTCAGGGTTGCTCCGGTTGCGTTTGATCATGTTGGCCGAAGTATCAAGACCAGGTAGCTTTTTGGGATCATGGTCGTCCTCCATGGGGGAGTCTTGCAAGGTCCCTGGGAATGGTGGCTGAAGGGAAGTCCTCGGAGAGACCTGCTCGGAAGGGTCATCCGGAATCATAGATCCGGGGTCGACAGAGGTAAGGGGACATGTTTGGCTTCGCGGCCTGTTAGGAAAGCCATCCGCGGAGGTATTGCGGGACTGACTGGTGGGAGTGAAAGGACTTTCCGACACCAAGGTGGAGGTTGGGCTGGTCACAGTGGTATCAAGCGATGTGGCGTTCTTGGTTTGTATATGCTGTTGATAATCGCTTATGAGCTCGGCCAGGGCCTCAGCTTTGATGTTGTCCTGGCTTTGTGTTGGGGACAATGGGGACGGCGTGGCGAAGCCAGGGGAGGTCGGGGATAAGAGAGTTGGAGACTGGACAGCGGATGCCAATGCCGAATTGATGCTTAGACCAGTGGGACTGTCGGAGTCGCTCTTGGTAGTGCTAAAGGAACTCTTTCGAGATTTAGCACCTAACAGATTGTTTTTATGCTTGAATTTCTCCAGCCAGCTCGTGGTCAGGACCTTTTCTTTTCCTTCATTGGCGCCACAGGTGCTGGCGAAGAAAAGGGCTTTCTCCTTGATCATTTCATCGCTGAGAGAGTAGCCATGTCGCTGGTAGTTTCTTACCCAATTGGATAAAGCCTTCTCGATATCAGGGACTCTCCCTTTGGCTCGCTTAATGGGAGACCGACTCCCATCCTCTGGGTTCAGGTACTTTTCTTTCTGGCGGAGTACTTTGGAAACAGTACTTTTGGAAACAAACACTCAAAAGTTAGAAAGAGCTCTCTGACCCACAGGGATTTGGATGTCCCAGAAAGGGGAAGTGTGTACTCTACCTTCTTTCCACTCCGAAGAGCGCTGTGATGGATCATCAGCCCGAGCCTTCAGAAACCATGGGGCATCATGATAAAGTACAAACTTACCGCCAATATCAGTCTGCTTGGCCGTCTTGTTCTCCTCGTGGTAGAGGCACATGCGTCGGCGATCATCATCCGTAAGCGTCCTCCGTGGTGTCGAGCTGCTGGTGGACGCTTTGCGTGGTGGCGGCGGCGGAACGGGTACAACGGGCGTCACGGAAGGTTGTATCTGGACCGGAGGCATGCCTGTCTCCGCATATTGCCCGGGAGTGAGCATGCTAGGCCATGTGCTGGATGGCAGCGTCAATGGCAAAGATGCATATGGAGGTGGTATCGACACATCGTAGGCCGAATCCATGGGCATCACGCCATATCCAAACCCATGATAATCCAGTGGCGGTGAATGCTGAGAGGGAGAGAACCCGCCCATGTCCACCCACGGTGATTGTGTGAAATCACTGTCTTGTCCATGGGAGCTTTCCGTATCCATGGCGACTGTTGGGATCGGTAGACGGTTGGAGGGTGACGGAGGAAACAAGAGGATAGAAGAACAAAAATGACCCGGGGGAATGGTCTGATACTATAAGAAGTGGCGGTCTTGCAGCAGCCCTGACACCGAAATGACAGCCAGCGAGAGAGCAGGAATTCAATGGGCGGAACCAAAGGTTCAGATATTGGATCAAGGGAAGAAAAAGCAAAGAAAGGAAAAATTTCCAAAGAGAAACGGAAAAGAGATGAACAATCTAGAGCCTGATCGAGGGCCGAATATGCATGATCAACTTTCCAAGGAAACAGATAGTAAGATGCGATTAGTACTTCGTGACTGACGAATAGATCGAGCGTCACTGTCAGTACGTATGCCAGATACCTATCCCGTGAGGGAAACAAAATTTCTTTCAACACCTGTATGCCCGAGCACCAAACTAACCAGAGCTAACGAGAGCAATATGTATGCATAGAAGAAAACATGCAGGTCCTTTCTTCGCTTTTGTACAATGATGAAGAGGAGGGAACAGGAGGATGCGGGTAAGGCATGGGACGGAGTTTAAGGTGGGAAAATAAAAAGAAATCGAGGAAATCGAAATGGAAAATCCGTTCAAATAAAATAAAATCCCCCAAAAAAACGATCAGGTTGGGGCGCAGGCACAGGGACAGGGACGATCCGAGACGCAGCAGCGAGTGGCAGAGAAGTATCAGAGTATGAGAAGTATGGGGGTGGACAGGCTGCGATAGATAGATGTTTCTGGGTGGATGAGAATCCAAGGGCTGCACGCACGAGTAGAAATGATGGATGTAAAGTGTCGTACCTGATTTGATGCTCGACCGACTAAGTCAAATCGACAGGGCCTCTCTTGCCTCTTTCCATCTGTTCTCTCTGGAACGGCAATTCTTATTTCGCCTGTCGAGAAAAACAAAATAAAATAAAAATCAACAAAATAGGGATAAATGAAAAAATGAAATAAAAAAAATCCCTACGCTGTACCGTATCTAATAATGCATCCGTCCATCAAGATCAGACCGGTCCTACTATAGCAGAGGTTATTAATTATTATTATTGGATCATTATAATTATAAATCATTATTTCCAATTTTCCATTGCACGGATGGTCATTACAGACACGAGTCTTGATAAGTGCAGAGGGTTGAAAAACCCGGACTTCTGCCCGATGATTGGTCCATCCGCTCAAAGTAAAAGAAATACCTAAAAGGCTAAACGCATCCCTCCCAGCGCACTTTGCCCCCTCCCCTGGGAAAAATGGTGGGGGATTCCCATGCTGATTGGCGGGTCGCTAGATTGGTGGTGCAGGGATCTCCTGTCGGGTCCAAATACCGCTAGTCCGTAAGGCCCCGTACGATGCTGTGTCCAGGTATCGTATCAAACATGACGGGATTCCGGTTTTTCTGTTCCTGCCAGGGGCTAACGCGCTTGGGGAATGTCAGTAAAAATCAGGCCCTAAGAGAGCTTGTTGGCCCGAATGGGGGTGTCGATGGATGTCTTTTCCACCGCGGACGGTCTCCCAGGCCAGGGCCCTGTTACACCGATGTTGACCAGAATGCGCAAATAACAAGTTGGGCTCCCAATTTCATTTACCTACGACAAGACCTTAGTCCTACCTTACCTACCTCCCTCCCCTGACTATTCTCCTGTAGATACCGATCTACTAGGCACTTATTGCTAAATGCCCTGGGACCATTGGTACCCGATGGGGGAAGGAAAAGGTGGAGTACCGGTGCCAAAGAATTTTTAAGTCAACCAGAAAAGACAAAAACAAAAAGAAGGTTGCGGCCCTTTTTAGGCTTTGGCAGCTTTTCTATCTCTCTTTCTTGCTTTTTGAATTTTTTGCTTTTCATGTCGTTCAGATGGATTCCCCTCAACTGGTTTGACAGTTTGCCTCGAGACGGCAATCCTGTAGCACATCATAAGGAGACAGGCGCCAGCGAAGGATCCATAATCAACCCGAAGAGAGGGGATCGACCCAAGATGAAAATCATACGAAGGATACAGTAGTGTAAAATAAGTGTCTTTTTTATTTATTAATTTTTTCTTTTCTTACCAGAAAGAGAAAAAGAAAAGAAATTAAAAAGGTTGAGCAACTTCCTGAGCAGGCCAAGATCATAATCATATATCCTTTCACGGACGGGGAGTGGATCGATAAACCGCTGAACCTAAAGGCCCGCATGACATCGCAGATAAAGCGAAGATTTCCGACTATGCTGGATTCTCCAACGGTTTTCCTTCACAACCTTCTTGGAATCGATATGTAGGCTTCTTTTTCTCTGGTACCGAACCTCTTATCCCTGTTTTTTTTCTTCTTTTTTTTTCGCGCCTCTCCTCTCTGAACTTGTGTGAAGGAATGATCCTTCGCGTCCTTGCGACGCCGACAACATGTGAAGAAGGTGGACTAGAAGGTTAAAGAAAATCAGGAAGAGGGGTTGAAAAGAAGATTCAGCATGGAGTACGAGGCAGAAGATACTGGTCATCATCAGGAGATTAACCACCAAGTCTTCAGGGATGGTATATCAGAAGAGAAATAAACGAAGTAGATCCTTTTAAGAGTCTGGGATGATGAAGCCTCATTTTGGCTGATCCCCAACAAGTGGCGGACTTTCGGCTGGGCAATTTCTCACCTTCCACCGCTTCCACCGCGAGAAGGCCGAAGCTAAAGAGCGAGTAAACCCGTAGAAAAAAGGGCAATGGGCTTTCCTGGAACCTACTAATCAGAAATTAATCAGCCAGTGTTAGGCGAGGAAGGCCGATCTGCATAGTACTTTGTCACGAGAAAAACGTCAGGAGAGAGCACGGACGAATGGGCGACCGTAGATTGATTCCAATTTCCTTTTTGTTACATGGACTGCGCATGGATTATAGGGGAGGCTTGTCCTATCAGAGGCTGCAAAGGCAACATGGTTCGGGGCCTGGAGGTGTTGGTTCCTTCGCACTAAGTTAGTCGCGTTGTAGCATGAGGTCGAGGAGCTAGGACCCCACGGTCCACAAAGGGCCCGCAGCGGTCCACTCCGGGCCGGCAACCTAAGCAATGCAAATCCTGGGTCAGAATTTGACGGGAATTATGGAGGGTGGAAGACGGGGTGGGGGGGAGAGAATGGGGAAGAAAGAAATGTGGACTGAGAGAATGGGGAGGGGAAAAAAAAGGTACAGTAAAGATCATAATGCTCATGAACCAAAAAGGGGAGAGATGGAAGATAGAAAGAGGATGAGAAAAGAAAGCTAAATCATAAATTAAAAGATAAAATTCATTGATTGATTGATTGATTTTCTTGCCCTGTTTAAAAACCACCTCCGCACCCAAGACATGCAGATACTGATCGGGCATTATTGATCGGGGAGGGTAGGACTTCGGCCGAATCCAGTTTAGCCCCTCCTGGCGCTGCAACTCGGTGCAAACCGCAAACCTTGAACCCTGGCAAGGACTGTCTGACTGACTCGGCAGGTCGGGTTTCCATTTTACTGACTGGTGCTCCCATCAAATGCCCTCGAAGCGGCAGACTCCTCGTCGCTACTGGTGCTTCGAAGGCTTGTCGGCGCATCACTGCAGCCCGTGGTCATCGAAGTGTACACGGTACATCCAGAAGCATGCGTGACCTGGGGGACCGGGCAGGTACTCGGTACGGAGGGTGACGCACATTTAACCATTTCCCTAATGCATGTACAGCCTTACCGGGGCTTTCAGTCTCAGATGGAAGTACTGGGGGGAGGCACCTCGGTCTCAGATACCTTTAAAACCTAAGTAGTTAAGAGTACGGGTCGGGGAGGCGGGAAACGTGATCAGTGCTGCTCCAATCGTCAATGCCGCCCCGCTTGTTCGGATGACCACGAGGGCTGTCAGGTCTAAAGTTTCCCTATTGTGTGTGATACCGGTCCCGTCAGTCGGTTCTGGCCTCCTGGCTGAAGGATCTCGGCTGGAGGACTTTTGCATCTGATCTATCAGAATGCAACGGTGGTTGATACCATGGACAATGCTGGAAGGAAGGAAGAACCGATCGAGATTTCCTCGCTTTGGTAAGAAAAACAAAAGATCGAAAAGGATGGAAGGGGGGCCGAAAGAGGCGAGGACATATTGAATAAAGGAGATAATAATGAAACGGAGAGAATGGCTGGACTTTCCTCCGTCGAGCGTTGCACAACTAACAAAGTCGAGCTTCCAGGGGGGAGGGGAAGGGGCTGGAAGTAATGAACAATCGACTCGATATGATTATTGCACTGCTCTAGCAGAGACCGCATACTTTGACGACCTTCCAATCGATCTGCCTTTTGTCGCTCCTTCGCGCTGAGAGGTTGACAGCCAGTCGCCTAGGCAAAATCGCTACCCCACCTAGGCAAGAGTTAGCATGGGAAAAGCGAGACTACGACTTGAGGTGGGCTGGAAGGACGCCATCGAGTTTTGTGTAAGGAAGTAATAGATAGTGTGGTGGGTGGCTTCCCCTTTTTTCTTATTTCTTTTTTCTGTTCTTTTCTTTTCGTTGATTTTTGGATTTTCCTTTCCTTTTTTTTTTCTTCGTTCCTATTTCTTTCTGGATTCTTTTCTAATCCCCCGTGACTGGTCCAAAACCAGAGTTTCTCCTGCCAGGAACGAGCAGATGTTACGTACGGAGTATTGTACAGAGGAGGGGGATACAGGAAAATGTGGAGAAGATTCAAATTGAAAAGAGAGTTAGTCAGAACTTACTAAACCCAGATATATCATGACAAGTTTCGAGTAGATCAATTACTCATGACGGGGGAGAAAAAGGGAAAACAAGAAAAAGCAAAAAAAAAAGAAAAAAAAAACCCCAGCTGGGCAGGAAATGGCCGAAGTGGTGCGACGTCAGACACCGAATCCCCAACCCAAAAAAAAAGTGGTGTCATATAGCCTTACCGTTTTACAGCGCCAATAATAGATATCTGTCAGGTACGCAGTTCGGTGCAGATGTCTCATACTTCCGTCGGGATTAATATCTCACCTTAGTGCCATAACGACATGTACGAGGCAG